TGGCCTGGTGCTGAGGACCCCCAGGATGTTGGTGGCCATCTCCAGGTCGAGAGACACCCTCTTCAGGACAGGCCTGATCGCTGCCTCCTTCAAAGGGGCAGGAACCCCACCCTCCCTCAGAGAGGTGTTGATGACCTCCAGACCCAGGTACTTATCCCTTTTTTGACTTTGATGAGGAGCCATATGGGGCAAGGGTTGAGTAGACTGGTGGTGGGTTGGACCAATCCAGGCATCTTGTCCACATCCTCAGGCTGCAACAATTGAAACTCATCCAATAAAAGTGGACTGGATGGTGCTCTAGATGTTCCCTGTTCTGGAGCCATATCAACTGTGGAGTCTAGCTCGTGGTGAATCTGAGCAATTTTATCTTTCAAGTGCTGGGCAAAGTTGTCACAGTGAGCTTCGGATGGTGCAATAAGATCCTTTTTAGGGCCAGAATGTAATAGGCCGTGCACCACCTGAAAAATCTCAGCTGGACGGTACTGTGAGGATGCAATGGAAGTGGAGAAGAATTCCTTCTTCGCTGCCCTCACTACTGTAGCATAGGGTTGATAATGAGTTCTAAGATGTGCTCGATCAGATTCATTCCCAGGATTTCCTCCACCTATGCTCTAGTTGTCTCCCAGCCTGCTTGGCCCTGAGTTCAAACTTCACGAGGAAGTGATCTGACCACAACAAAGGGGCTACAATCAAATACCTCATTTCCAGATCACCATCTTCCTGCCCTGTCTCGGACCTGGTGTTGAGGACCCCCAGGATATTGGTCCTGGGGGAATTAAATTTCCATGCTGAGACTGTTCTGGCAGCTCAGGATTTCATGGGTGCCATGACAGCCAAGGGGCTGTCTCAACATGTCACTGGCCCAATGCATGAAAGAGGCCACACTCTAGACCTGGTTTTCTTGAGCCTCTACATGTCCACAACACACAAATGGGAACTCAGTTGAGAAATCTGTCACCACCTCTTCGACCAGTGGGGAATGTCCTCAATAGTCTGTTTGCAACCCATCAGAACAGAGTATGTAACACCTACTGCTTATATGGCTTGAAATAGAAATGCTTTACACGCTTTGCAACCAGTAACAACTTTTTGCCTGAATCTGCAACTACTGAGAACATTTTATAATTCCTCCTCTTGCTATATCAAGGGGGCCTAAAACTCTCATCCATCAAGGTATACCTCACAACTATATCATACCATAGAAGACATACAGAAGGTCCATCTGTGTTCTCACACCAACTAACACCTCAGTTCCTATGAGGACCCCAAATCCTACACCCTCCAATTTGATTGATCATACCAACATGGAGTCTGTCAGTTGTCCTGCAGACCTTAACAAACCCTCAATTTGAACCATTAGCCTCCACTGATTTAAGGATGCAGTAATGGAAAACGGCATTCCTGGTAACTATAACTTCTGCCAGGAGAGCTAGTGAGCTATGTGCCCGTCAGGTCAACCCCCGGTATCTGAATTTCCATAAAGAAAGGTGGTCTGCCACATGGACCCAACCTTCCTTCCAAAGGTAGCAACAGCGTTCCATCTCAGCCAAGATATTGTGCTACCAGTATAATTCCCAGCGCCATCAACACCGATGAATGGTCACTCCACAGCCTCGATGTCCGCAGGTTACTTGCCTTTTACTAGTCCCGAACCGAACCGTTCTGGAAAACCAAGCGACTGTTCATCAAGTACTCTGAACACAACAAGGGAACACCAATTGGACCCCAACACTTGTCAAAATGGATCATGGAAAACATAAAGCAGGGATCCTCAAACTACACGCACAGGCCAGTGAGGAGGGGGGGCCTGGGCGCACGGGCTGGTGAGGCGTCGTCAGGTGCGCGTGAGGTAGCGTTGGGCATGTTTGGCAGCAGCTTGCTCGCTCAGAGATCTCCCAGTGAGTCCAAAATCATCTCCAAGCAAGCAAGCCACCGCCTCCAGCCTGCGCTGCAAGGCAGTGGCGAGCGTGCGTGCATGGGGGAGACAGGCAGCGGCAGCTTGCTCGCTCACTCAGAGATGGTTTTGAACTCACTGGGAGATCTCCCAGTGAGACCAAATCCATCTCTGAGTGAGCAAGCCACCACCTCTGACCCGCGCGGCGTGGGCTGGATGAATGCGCATGGCGGGCCAAATCCATCCCGTGGGCCATAGTTTGAGGACCCATGCCATAAAGCTTTAATACCAATTTGCTAAATTGAACTTGCCAATCCTTCCAAGAGGTCATTTGACTAGAGCTGTGGCCACCTTGTCAGCCTTACGTGCAGGCATACCTGTACAAGACTTACGCAAAGCTGCTACATGGTCCACTCCATGCACCTTTATCAGGCATTACCATCTTGACATAAAGGCTAGAATGGACTGCTCCTTTGGTCATGCCATCCTTTTGACTGTCCTTCAATAATGACCTCAGTCCTGCCTCGGAGTTTGGTAAGCCTGCTAGTCACCCATATGTGTGATGCACAGAGACCACGACAAAGAAAGGCAGGTTGCTTACCTGAAACTGTCATTCTTCAAGTGGTCATCTGTGCATTCACACAACTCACCCACCAGCCCCACATCGGTGTTGGTGACTGGGTTCATATGATGTAAAATAATTTCTATCATGTTATACCTATCATGCTGGTACCAGTTGGGGGGGGGGGGAACAGGCGGTCTCCAGCTGGACTGGCAAGTGGGTGGGAATTCTGCCCATTTATACAAGGGGGTGGGAGAATGGAGTTCCTGCCAAAAAAGTTAATAGTTGAGAGAACCTCCTAAATACAGACATTGTGCAGGTGCAGACCCATATGTGTGAATGCACAGATGACCACTTGAAGAATGACAGTTATAGGTAAGCAACCTGCCTTTCTTGCTTTTGAACAAGTCATGATATACCTAATAGCCTCCAACTTTTTAATTTCACTTTGTTTATCAATGGGAAATAGGTTAGTTTATTTTGTGCAAGTTATTTGATATTTGTACTGCCAAATATTAATTTTATAAGGAGAGGTTGGTATGATGGTTACATTTGTATCTAAACAGATAATTTGATGTTTTATTTACTTACATTAATTCTTAGTCCTGTAACTTGACCATAATAATTGTTCAGCTTCATAGTTTGTACCAGCTCAATAGCTGATTCCAATAGTGGCATGAATATATTATTTGCAAAAATGCTTATTTTATTTAAAGGGACTGACAAATAATAGTTCATTATGTCTTTTTTCCTTCATCAAATTTGCTAGGGGTTCACAATTGAAAGCAAACAGTAGCGGAGACACTGGGCATCCTTTGATAAGTATTTTCTTGATAGAAAGAAAATATTTGAAATAATTTTTATCACTAGGTTGGATCACTGCTGCATTATGGCAATAGGTTTTTCCAAGGTATTCAAAGGATTTCTCTCCAAATACTGACTTAATCCTGTAATGTAGCTCCATTCTAACTTGTTGAATGTTTAGTAGCATTCCATTCCATTCTTTCTCTAATTTATTTATTTATTTTGGAGCAGTGATGTGTTACACTGAGTAACTTCTAGACCAGGTCTGAAATTGCTCTAGTTTTAATACAATGGAATCGACTATATTTGGCATACTATAGGGCTATTTCATTCAACTTTGCATGGAAGATACTGGTAAATAGTTTATAATTTTGATTTAGAAATGTAATCGGATTGTAAGAATCAACTCACTCTGTATTCTTGCTGGGTTTTAGCATAGGTATTATTCTAGAGTTTTGACAGGTTTGTGGTATTAGGTTACCTTTGATTATATCATTAAATGAAATATGTAGATAAGGTGTTTTCTTACATTGCTTTACAGCCAACTTCTCTGAAATCTGCAGCTGGGGCTTTTTAAAATTTTTCAAAATGCTTTTTGATCTCATCTATGGTTCCACCCCAATTAAAATATGCCTGATAATTTGGGCCTCACTTGGTTTCTCAGATAAGATATTGCATTCTATCTATTGAAAACTGGAGTAATCAGCCATGTGTAGCAAAAGGAAAAAATATCTTGTGAATTGGTCATTGCTTTAAGATAGTATGTTTCCCTCATCTGTCATCTGTTTTTAAGACCAAATTTCTTTCTTACACCTATTTTTAAAATTCAGTGTGCTACAAATTTAGCAGCTCATTAAATTCACAGAATTTTTGCTCGATACACTGTAGGTTGATTACTATTTTATTTGTTTCTAGTGTGTTTAGTAGAGTCCACTTCTGTTATCTTTTCCTTACTTTTTGTGCTCTGCTTTTCTACGTTTTGGATCTTTGAGAGGAGTTGGTGTTCAGAGGGTTGTTTTGATTGGATTGGATTGTTTTAGAGAATGTTCCCTCATGAATGCATATTGTCAGTCTATATTTGACATTATTATATTTATAGAAGTCATCTAGTTATTCTTAACTTATCCCTACATTTCTGATGCAATCATAGGGTGGGATACAGTTTCCAGGAATACAATATATGCTGAGTATGCAGTATGGAAAGAGTAACTCATACTGAGGCATGATCAGACTCAATAACTGGATTTGTACAACAAACTAAACTGCTGGGTGGAGGGGGATGAGGTGACTTTATATCATCTGAACCTCCCTGCACTTCCCATGGGTGGTTTATAATCACCCCAAGTAGGCTTAGCTTATTCTTAGGCTTAGTACACTCAGTGTGGCTTAGTGTGTCATTTGTTTTCAGATGACACTGTGGCTTGATGTGTCACCTCTTGTTGAATGCTTTAGTAGTATTGCATGTTTCTCCCCTCCCCTCCCCCCTCCCTCCCTCCCTCTCTCTCTCTCTCTCTCTCTCTTTTAATTATCCTCAAGCCCCTAGGTGGCCAAATAAGGTCTCAGGGAAGAGGGCTGTCCTTATCAGGGTCTGAAAAGATGACAGATTCCTCTTGTCCTGTATATATAAGAATAATGTTACATGATGCACTAAATATAGCATGATGTAAAAACTGAAAATGTTTTCACTGTTGCAATTTGAAGGATAGGCATTTCATAAGAGAAAATAAACATTGCAAGAGGTGTTTTTGAAATGTTTAAGATGGCTACATCTAAGTCTTGCTTGGTGTATTGAGACTGACAAGAGAGAACTATAACATTCTGCTCTATACTAGACCAATAAAATGAATATAGCTAAACCAGTCATCATCTTAGGATGAATGCCCAACTCCAATTCTGTGACCCTAGAGAAGGGTAAAGTGAAACCAAGAACATTAGGAGGCAAAATATCCTCTCCTGACACCCATGTAAATATTAATGTATTCAAGGTGAAACACAATGTATAGCACAACTGTTAAGTACTTGAGACTTGAAAATCCCTAGAATACATTTTAACTGTGCCCTTGATAGAATTCACAGGACTGGTTAGGATTAATTGTTGACTGTGTTTTCACTGAGATTGCCAATCAAGTTCTTTGTTGCTGGTTTCTTATTAATTGCGCTCTTTCCCTATTTCTGCACTAGATTTTCTCCAGGACTTAGATTCATGTGCATATGGAATTGTCTGGCCTCCTGATGCGATGGAATAACTGTGGTAGTGACATCCATTTTAATTATTACTTTAGCTGGGTGTCCCCATCTGTAGTATATGTTTAGAAATCTAAGCTTTTCAGCACAGTTTTTAAGCTCCTATTGTCTCTGAAGAGTGTCAGGGCTCAAATTGATATGGGCTATTATAGCGGCATATAAATCCACTAAATAAATAAAGTCCTCAAATAGTTGCATGGGGCTGTTTTCATACTGACATTGGATATCCAATCTGGATCCTGCCAAAATGGCTTATTTTTCTGCCTTTTTAATGAAGCATACAATGGTACCCCATGGATACGCTCCTACTGCAGGTTTAGCTTGTAGAGCACTGTGAGTCCATGAAATAGCCCTCTATATTTCTTTGGGGGAAAAGATGTCAAAATCCAATCATTTTCACGTGTTCCTGGAGTCATCAAAATCTCAGATTTAGGTATCTGTAATAATTTTCAAGGTCCTCCAACTTTTCCTACAATTCTGAATTAGACCATAGTAGCTTTCTTTTTCATTCCTCTGCTAGACCAAAATCCATAGCTGCGGGTTTGTGTTTTTGCTTTTTTTTTTTTTTTGGCAATTTTATTTATTTATCACATGTTTAAACTGTCCAATAGCCCTGTTGAAAGACCTCATTTATTTACTTTTCCAAGGGTCAGACAGGGGCTTACCATTCTTGCCTCAGTTCCCTTACTTTGGAAGCTGGACCAATGGCAGCTTAACCACCTTTGTTGCCTTTGTCATATGGCTGCACTTTAGGGCCCACTGTCAGGCTTTCAGACTCATTAGTTCTAGGGCTTTTAAAAGATGAGCTATTTTTAGCTTCAGATTTTACAGAAAGTCTCAGTAAAGATTCCTCCGAGTTTCAGAAAGTACTGCCTGTTCTCCTTCCATCTTAAATGCCAATTTTGTTTAGCTATTGTGTTAGAAGAAGTTATAATTTGTATGGGAATCATATAATTGTTCCCCAATCTGATGCCTTCAGGTGTATTGAAATACAGCTTCCAACATATGCAGCTAGAATGAAATAGAACAGACCCTGCAGGGGAGAAATTAAAAACAGAATAAGCAGAAGGGTCTCCAAAAGTGGCTGGACTGATTAGCTATATTTAAAATACACATTAATCTCATGGGGGTGAGGTGGGATAGGATAGGGTGTAATCTAAAAACTGCACCTCAATCAAGTCCTAATGAAAAAAAGTCAACTACTTACAAAAATATTACTGTATTTCAGCCATCTAAATGGTGGTGGTTATACCACTTCTTAAAAAGCAACTCCTGGATCCTGGGGATATAAATAATTATCAACTTATAGCCAATGAATGTTCCCTTCCTAGCAAGGTGCTCAAATGAGTTGTGGCCAGGCAACTCCAAGCACTCTTAGAAGAAACAAATTATCTAGATCTATTTCAGTTGGGCTTTAGGCCCAGCTTTGGTAAAGGAATTCCCTGTGGGATGAGCTTTGTGAGGAGACAGGAGAAGCAGGACCCCGTTGATTGTCCTGAACCTCTCAGCACTTTTCAATACCATTGACCATGGTATCCTTCTGAGAGGCTGGCTGGTTTAAGAACTGGGGACACTGCTCTGTGATGGCTCTGCTCCTATCTGGACAACTGTCTCCAGGTGGTAGACCTGGAAACTGTAGCTTTATGCTATGCCACTTGAGCCATGGAACTCCACAGGGCTCTGTCTCTCATGCTGTTTAATATCTACATGAAACCACTAGCTGAGGTCATCCAGAGGTTTGGGCTGAAGAGTCACCAATATGCAGAGGACACTCAGCTCTACTTCTTGTTCTCATCTAATTCAGGTGAGGCAGTGACTGATCTAAAATGGTGCCTTGGCTTGGTAATGGATTGGATGAGACTATTACACTGAAACTCAGTCCAGACAAGATGCAGATGCTGTTGGTGAGTAGGCTGTCTGTCCAACTGGGAAAGCTTATTTATTTATTGGGATATTTCTAACCTATCCAATCACTATGCGTCTCTGGACAGCTTACAAATAAATTCAATAAATACAACAGTATAAAAAAATCATAAATTTTCAACCTCTCCTGGATGGATTGTGCTCCCTCTAAAGGGCAAGGTTCATAGATTGGGGGTGCTCCTTGACCCTGAATTGTCACTCAGGTTTTGAATTATTACTTTTTTTGAATTTTTGAATTCAGGTGACCTTGGTGGCCAGGAGTACAGTTCATCAGCTCAGGTTGATTTATCAGCTACATTCCTACTTAGATGAATGGAGCATAGCCACAGTCATCCATGCATTTGTAACCTCTTGCCTGGATTACTTTAATGCACTCTATGTGGGGCTGCCTTTGAAAACGAACTGGACACTTCAACTAATTAAAACAGAGCAGTGTGGCTGTTAATGAGAACTTGTCCTAGAGAACACATCAAGCTAGTCCTCTGTCAGCTGCATTGGCTGCCTGTGCCCAGGCCCAATTCCAATTGCTTGCATTAACATATGAAGCCCTAAATGGCACGGGGCTAGGATATCTGAAGGAACACCAGTCTCCATGTATCTTTACTGGACCCTTAAGATCTTCTCTGGATGCCCTTCTATGTGGGCTCCCCTACCCCAAATGAAGGAAAAGGGCTTTTTCTGTTACTGTGTCTTATCCTTGGAATGCCCTTCCTAAAGAGGCTCAACCTGCACCCTCATTACTCAGTTTTTGTCACCAGGTGATATTTTTACTTCATACCTATTTTAGCATAATTTATGGTTTTATGATGTCTTTTTACTGCTTGCTTTGTTATCATGTGGATTGTCTCTTGTTCCCATGCAAACTTTTAGTTTTATGATGGGGTATTAGTTTTAAATTTGTTGTTTTATTCTCTATGCCATTGTTGTTTGTGAGCTGCTCAGAGAGCCCTTGGGCAGCATACAAGCGTCATAAATAAATATATAAATCTGCAGCAGTTCAGAGGAGGAAGGAAGAAGGCTGAGGCACCATTAAGATGTCATAACTTGGTGGCACCAGCTTCCTTCCCTCCCTACCATCCTGGAATGTCCTTTGCACTCTTTCTCCAAGCTCACTTTTATGATCTCAAGAGGCAACTAGTGTGGTCTTTTCCATGCCAGCTTCTAGGAAAGGGGAGGACATTGAGAGCAGATCCCCAGCTCTGAAGATGTTGCTGTTTTCTAGCCTTGGAGCTGGAAATATTAATGAGCTTATAACTCTCTAGACACTGTCCATGACCCATATGGTTCTTTTTTCAGGAAACTTCCTCAGTACAAACATACATCTTCCAGACCAATGGGATTTGGCACTGGTTTGGCAATAATGTATAAAGAATCATAGTAGAGTTGAAAGGGGCCAAGGTGATCAGGTCCAATCCCCTGCTGTTGCAGGACACCAATTTATACCTTCCCACTCAGATGACTGTCCAGTTTCATCTTGAATGTCTTTGGGTTGAGACAGCCCATGACCTCTCTAGGCAACTTGTTCCACTGTCATATGGATCTGAGTTAGGATACTTTTCCTGGTATCTAGCTTGAAATCTTTCCTGATAGCTAGTTTACTGCAACTTGTGTTCATTATTCCATGTTCTCTCTTTAAGATGACTGAGATCTTGTCCTTCCTCTTTGTGACAGCCTTTCAGGTACTTGTAGATGACGTAAGTTCTGTATATGCATACTTGGCACTGTAAGAAGGAATAACAATATGTAGCATTCATTGTTGGTGTTAAATGTCATTACTTTTTAAAAACCATTGTTTTTCTCCCAGTTGGAATGAGATGCCTTTTATAGGCATTAGTGGGAAAATCTTAATTTGACATTTTTGCTTGACAGGAGCCATGTTAGGAAAACAAAACTGGCAACTCTACTGCATTATGGCAAATGCTATTCAGTGTGAAACTGCTGAGAGGTTAAAATACAATTTTTAAAATTTTGATCAGGTAAGCATAATAAAAAATTACTAGTATGAAAATTACAATGCCAACATTCTTTGCAATACATTATGCATATTTAGGCTCATGACCACAAGCCCCATGTAATTATTTTCACAAATGAAATTCAGATCAAATAAATACATCTTGACTGTTTCCTCTGATTTACATTAGCAAGCTGATTGCTGGTTTGCATGACTAATTTTGATTAAAATTGCTTCATCTGAATACCAAATCAGGGACTTTACTTTCATTAATCAGTGGAATTCTTGTGCACTTAGATAGTGTCCTTGGATTTTTATTTGTTTACTTAAACTTCTAAGAAAACATGTGTATATTTCTCTGGTCAATTTTAATACTAAATAATGCAAAACTCCACTCTGATGGAAATTTAAAGCAGCACATTGTGATATAGTAAGAATTTGAGTTGCCAACAGACCAGAAAAAAAACAGCTTGCCCTAGTGCCTTTTAACAACTTGATCAGCTTAAGTCTGTAGTAAAGCCTTTTCAGGATTCAGCAGCAGACTTTAGAACCTACTAGTATCTGAGGATCAAACTGCTATTATAGGCATCAAAAGAATGGCTGGTTGAAATAAAAAGTAACAAAGCAAAACTGGGATCTTGAATAAGAATGTTCGTGTTAGTGTGTGTGTTTTATACTAATACCAACATTGCAGACCACAATGTAACTTACAGGCACAGCTTTATGTTCCAATTCAATACTATATATAAGTAGTTTTGACTTCGCAGAAGGCAGGAATCTGTATTGAAATTGTCTGAAAGAAAAATGAGCACCACACTTTTCCTTATGCTGTCTAGGATGTTGGGATAGCATTTGGGAGGCCACAGGATTCAAAGCCCTGAATTCCTGCAAACTTGGAGAAGGACGTTGAGGGCCAAGCCCCTGCTCTACCCACCTTGCACCCACATGGAAAGAACCACCCAGGCTGCTTCCCCACACCTTGCAGGTTACAATTAGGCCTCAGAGTAGGGAGGAGGCCAGTGGTGCATACTTGGATTTATGCTGATTCTAATCAGTGTCCCAGTCTCCTTCCCTTCCCCAGTGCTAAATCTAGACCACTGAAAACAGCCATCTAAACAAAATGCTTATTAGAAAGTACCACCACTTTGGAGATCACTGTTGCTGTACCTTATTCCAGGTTCAGAGGCTCCCATGCATCAAGGCCATGGGGCTGGATAGGATTGTGTCCTAAGGCTCACCAGAAAAGGTATGGTGAAAACAAAAAAGATCTAACTGCAAATCCCATTATACAAACCATTTATATCTATTTTAATGTTTTACATTTGTTATTGATACTGACATAAAATATGAACATCACCTTTTAACATGGAATTATTCATGCAATGATTATTCATGTGTAAGAGAGATAAATAAGTAAGCAGAACTTTGCTACCAAATTCACAAGTAAACTTATTGGTCAATTTCAGATGTCTCAGCAGGACTCTAGCCTGTGCGCCTCTCTGCTACAGTTGAACTGAAGCAGACCAGAAGCTTAAACCACAGGTATTACATGATTACTTATAGTGTAGCATCTACATCTGACCACTGAGTTTTTGTAAAAGCTGAGGATGAATAATTGTTTCCCCGACTGTGCTCACAGAATCTAGTCTTCAAATGTTTGGTTTACATTCAATATTTTTTTCGTTAGACCAGCCTTGGGGTAAGGGACAGAGGGGTAATTAAATTTGGGCACAATTCTATAATCCCATGGTAGGCTAGGACATTCTGCCAGTTGTAGGCCTTTTTTCAGTAACAGCATTCACCCTTTAGTTGCCCTTTTCCCAATTCTACGATATTCTTTAGGCATGGTGTCTAGAACTGTACAAAGTATTCCACATGTGGTCATACAATAGAATTGTATAGGGGGAGTATAGCTTGGTAATTTAATTTTTGATTCTTTTCCTAATTATAGCCAACATGGAATTGGCTGTTTTCATAGACACCATTCACTGGCTTGACATTTTTATTGAACCCACCATAACCCTAAGAACTCTTTTTTGGGTGGTCAGTCACCACTCACTCAGATCCCATCAGTTTATATTAGTGTTATAATTATTACATTCTTCTTGTAACGAACCCAAGGTAGTTTACAAGTTCCTCCTCCCCATTTTATTCTCACAAGGACCACCCTATGAGGTAGGTTAGGCTGAGAGCTAGTAACAGACCTAAAGTCACGCAGTGAATTTCATAGTTCAACGGGAACTAGAACCTGGATCTGCTGAGTCCCACACCAATATTCTTAGTCACTACACAACATTAGTACACTTAAAGTTGGGATTATTAGCGTCAACCGGCATCATTTTATGCTTGCTTACACTTTGCTCTTGCCTTCAAGTGAAGGCTGCAATCATCTTCGCATTTAGTGAAAGCAGATCCATAGGAGATAGGAAGGGAAAACTTCTAAATATGTGCAGGATCGGGCTGCACCGGAGTGTATTTAATAGGAAGAGAAATCCTGTTGAGCTTATTGAGCAGCGCTTCTGAGTACGGGCCCCCTGTTCTATTACGTTGCGGAGGAGGAGGAGGCGGCGGCGGCGGCGACGACAGCGTGAAAGCGACCCGCAGGGCCTCGTCGCTCGTCCGGCGCTGGCCTTCCGCGGAATTCCCGTCGGAAGAGGCGCATTCAGCGGCCCAGCCCGCCGCGTTTCTCCGGCGCTTCCTACGCTCGCCGGGCACCGCGTTGCCCTTCTGGTCAGGGGCTGGGCGTCCCGCCGCCCGCAAGCGAAGGTGCTGTGCTCCCACTCCCGAGGGAAGTGCGAAGGGAGCCGGAGCGAGCTTGCCGGGAGGGGCCCGCTCGGGTTCAGTCCGACTGCTGCCTGTGGCGCCTCCTCTCGGGCAATAGCGGATCCGCGACGGGTCGGCCATATAAACAGCTCCGCTGAGGGGCGGAAGCGAGCTTCGCCTCGCACCTGTGAGCGGCGGCGGCAGGGGGGACGTCCGCTCGGTTTTCCTTTCGTGGCGCCAGTAAGTAGAGGGCGAAGGAGTGGAGGGGGCGTCTCTCTAGGGTTGTGCTCGACTGCTTCCTCTTTTCTCTGTGCCTGCCGCCTTGCCTTCCAGAAATCGGTCCGCGGGGAGCAGAGTTGCTCCCATGGGTGACTGGAGTCGGCAGTCTCACCTGAACACGCTGAAGTAGAAAGGTAGCAGCCTCCAGTCCACCCTCCTTCCCTCAGTACCCTTACCTGTGGGGTCGCGCTCCATTTAAACAGGGACTGACTGCTTCAAACGGGGCTGTAGGGTGAACAAAACGCTGGCTTGTTTTGCTGTAAATGGGAGTCATAGGATAAAATTAACTCTAATTCTGTTTTTATTTATCTATTTATTTTAACAACGCTGAGCCCAACTGAGGTCCACCTAGTTTTAACATTCCTCCAACTTTCTATGGGGATGTTACAGGATGGATGTGTTGCCTTCTTTTTCATTTTTAGGTATGTCTGTGGTTGAAACTGAGGACGTACTAGCAGATATTTTTGTGTGCGTAGGTTTAGAGCATAATACCTTGCCACTCCCCAATCCTCAGTATGCCCTGGCTGGTGTGGGCAACAGGAAATTCTGGGAGTTGGGATTGCAAGGCCTTTTTTTGGTCTAAACATGCATAGGATTGTGTGTTTGTGATTTTAAAAAACTAACTGGAATTAATGGGTGTTACCTGGAATGAATTAGCCATACAGTATGGAGTAGAGCAATTCATGTAGTAGCTAGGGGGGCAATCCCAGGTAATTTTAAGAAGACCACAGCTCACCTCCCAGCATGCCCCAGCCAGCCTTGTTGGGAGTTGGATTACTTCTAACAGTTAACCTCCTAACTGTTAGGATGATTGCATCCTAACAGTGTGAGCCACATAATATTGTAATGGCGTGTGAACCAACTATCTCTCCATACATGTACTCAGTAGGTGGCCCAAGGCAAGCCAGTCTAAACTGCAGCAATACTACCCTTGTTTGCAATATGTAGTAAAACAAAAATAAAAATACTTACTTCACTGGTTGCTGTAAGGGTAACAGAGAAAATGTATACAAACCATTCTGACCATTTGGAAATGTATCTCAGAATACTTGGCAGTAAATTAATTTAGTCCTGATTTCATGTGGATGTTCTGAAGGAGAAAAGCATTTTGCTCCTCTCATAATACCAGAGCATGGGGTGGTTTCATACAACTGAGTGGTGGCAGTTTCAGGATAGATTAAGGCAGGGCTTTTTTTGTCATAGAACGCACCGGAACAGCGTTCCGGCACCTTTTTTCCCAATGGATTTTACTAAGTGATTTTGAATTTGCCTGTCCGCTTAGTAGCAAACATCATTAACATATTGCCTGCAGGCTGATTTTGTGTCCTCGCCGCCTGCCTTGGAACAGCTGCTTGGCTTGGGATTGGTGTGTGTGGTCGCGCTCTGAATGCTTACTGCAGGCGGTGATGTGAGCTCCAGCACCTTTTTTTAAATTTTTTTACAGAAAAAGCACTGGATTAAGGGAAATACCTATTCACACAGCACAGTTAAGCTAAGAAGTTCACTTCCACAAGATGGAGTGCTGGCCACCATGTCATGCGCAGAGCTGACTGGAGCTGGGTGTCAGACTAGATGGCTTGGGGGACCTCTTCTGACTCGCTCTGTTTTTATGTTTCTATGTTCTAACTTGGATGGCTTTAAAAGGGGAGTGGACAGATTCATGGAAATTAAGGTTTTTGATGGCTATATATCACTTCTAGTATCTGAAACACTATACCTATGTATGCTAGTTGCTGGGGAGCATGGACACTCATGTTCTACTTGTGGGATTCCTATAGGCATCTGACTGGCCACTGTTGGACTAATAACCCCTTGGCTTGATTCAACAGAGCTCATCTTATATTATTCAATTGTACTTTGTGTGTCGAAATACCAGAGCCCCCATTCTCAGAGTGGGGGGGGGCCTTTTTTGGCACATGAAGCTAGAAGTGCCTTTGAACCTCTGTGCTCCCACCTCCAGTGTTTATAGTGCATATTAAAGTAGAGGAGGAAGAGAGCCTATGTAGATATGCAGCCATATTACTGGGAGGGAAAACCATATGTTAGTGTCATAAGTGAAATAACCATTGTCATATGGAGGGGAGATTTTGGTTGAGCACTAGCAATTGCTTAATATTTTAAGATGAATCATGGTGAAAGTAAAGTATAGCTGTAGTTGACTTGTATTAGATTTTTTTCATACTTCTGCTACTTCCTTCCATGTAAAACCGCCCATCGTTTGACGTCTGCAGTTGTGGAGTTTCTCCAGATTCCTCTGTCTTTGGGGGTTAAAGGGTAACCCATCTGTGGTGGAACCCTGGTTGCAGAATTCCAACTATAAGCAAATTTGCCTGGTATATTTTTAAATTGGCTGTAACTGTTTTTATCAGTATTAGCTATCACTGTATATTTTACTTTAATTCACTGCTGTTTTAAACTTTATCTACATTTATAAGCCACCCTGAAGGCAGTTATGGTGGTGTGATAGATATATACCTTTTAAATACCTAAAGAAGGAGTAAGAGGCTTTCCAGCTGTGGTGTGGGATACATAGGAAGGCGTCTGTAGTAATAGTTTGCTTTAGCTTTACTCTAGCTAAGCGCACCTGTGGTGGGTTGTGATTATCATTTGTTGAGTAAGATTGCTGTAGATAACTTTATAGACATTTATCTCTTTATTATTGTGTGACATACCATAAGACAGAGTGTAAGAGAGGGTAGTCATAGGTTTTCGATGGAGCAAAGTACCTACCCATATTTAGACAGAAAAAAAGTCCTACAACTCCCAGCGTCCCCAGTTAACTGTGCAAAACATGCCTAGGATTTAGAGTGGATAAAAACCCATGATTAAAAACAATTAAAATTTAAATTGGATTTTTTAAAAAATAAAATGCTTTTTGAGGAGAAATCTTTCTGAAGATAGCTTTCTGTTTAGGATACATTATAGTTCAAAGGTTATTCATCATGAAAAGGATTTTAATTATGTAACATGGTGCTGTATATTCATGCAATGTTTAAATTTGTTGGTAAATGAATTCCATTAAACCATTCACAATGTCATGTTCTTCCAGAGATTTCTGTAAGATTATTGAGCAGTTTTTCAGTCTAGAAGATATCCCAGATGCTTAGTTTTACAGTTCTCAGAACTGTGAATTTGTGTCTGCAGAGATCACATGCCTCTTTTCACAGCAAAATGCTATAAAATAAACATACAGAGTTGAGAAAAAGATCTTAATCCCATTGTTCATTTGCAAATCTATGTACACAGAATCAAAATCCACCAAGGTCTTTAAAGTGGTGTACAATTTAAAACAATGCGATAAAATCAGGACAGAATAAATTTAAAAATAAAATATTACTGAAACCCAACTAGAATAACATTTAAATCCTTCAAAGATCCCGTGAAACAATATAATTTTTACTGTCCTTCTAAAATTCAACAATGATGGGGCTGAACAGCTGGGATGATGCAACCTTTTTGGTTCCTGTTGCTGAAAAGATGTTACAGAAAAGACGATATGTCCAAGATGATATGGTGGCAGCATGTGCTTAACTTTCTCTGGTTTGATGCCTTAATTGCAGTTGGCAACTAGATTTTTGTTCGTTTTAAACCAAATAAGCTGCAGAGAAATAGCAATGTTTGCTTTGCCGTTGCCTTTTCAACTACTTGCAAAATGGGCAAAATTGACTTTGATAGGATACAATCCTATGAATGCTGGCAATTGTAACTTTTTTCTGCCTATGCATGTATAGGTTTACACCTTTAGGCACATAACCTACACCTTTAGGTGCATACCATTGCCACATTTTATTTTATTTATTTTTTGATTTATATCCTGCCTTTTTTTCCTACAAAGGGCTCAAGGCAGCTTACATCTCCTCCTCCATCTTATCCCCACAACAACCACCCTGTGAGGTAGGTTGGGCTGAGAGTCTGTGACTGTCCCAAAGTCACCCAGTTGGCTCCATGGCTGAGTGGGGACTCGAGCCCAGATTGGCTGAGTCCTAGTCCCATGCTCTTAACCACTACACCACACTGGCTCACATGTGGTAGTTTGCATATGAGCTGATAATTTGTGTACAGCTTCTGTTGTTGGAGACTGCATTGAATCTAATGAATTAATCATCTGCCTTCTTACTGACTAGTCAATTCCCCACTCTATTTAAATGCTTTATCACCCACATAAAGTAATCCTGTAGTAGATGAATTTAGAATTGGAAGGCAGAGTCCAATGTTGCTTGAATGGACATCTTCTCATTTACCCGCAGCTACCTGTGTCCTCCAACTCGATAAAGCTGATTTTGAGGGAACTGCCAGAAGGGAAAATCAACATTCTTGTGAGTACAGTGAGTTAATTAGGTTCCAGCTGGAGAAATAATTATCAGTTTAAATTGCACTGGAGGAAAAAACAAAGCATTTTTGGCTTATACTTTGTGTGTAAGGTTTTGTACTCTCATGAACTCTGCCCCCATTCTTCTGTACTAATTTAAGCACCAGTTCCTGGGCTGCTGGGTGGGATAAGCATTTGCATGACCAGAGATTGCATGAGTGTCTGGGCAATGTGTTCTTGAAACACAACTCTCTTCCTGCTCAGAGCTTAGGTGATTTCAGATGCCATTTTGCAAATATATTTTTGTATACTCTGAAAAAAATAAGTTGAAGTCATTAAAGAGTTTTCTTGAATGTAAGATCAGGTGTATAATAAAATGTTCAAAGTTGCTTAGGAATTAATTCCCACAAATGAAAACATCTGTTTCCTTCTTACGTTGTCATACTGCTTTTGGAAGGGTACCTTCAAGATACCTTCTTACAAAATGAATGTTATAGCATCACAATATTAAAGTCACAATAGAATAACATAGTTTGGGAGTAATATGTTTACATGAATAAAGGTGAATAGTATTATGTCCTTCTGTGCAACTGGATAACGACAGGAGCCTTAAGCCTTCTGATTTGAGAGGAAAAGGAGCTAGGGGATGCTGCCAGTTTTAAACCACAGGAAATGGAATTTTGACACACTTTCTTCCTGCCATTTTCATGATGGAAATCAACTTTACCAAGCTGCTTTTCTCCTCATTGGGGTAGCAGGGGTCAATGAACAGGCCTTTTCCTTAACCTCATTGGTGAGAAAGTACCTGGGAAAGGACTATTCTGATTAGACAAATGGCAGGAAGAATAATGGTTAGCTAGCCCCTCTCTTCTATTATTTCTCCACTTGGGATTGCAGAGTCTCGTCTGTTGTCAATTAAAACAGTATATCAGAGGTCTGTTTATATATCTCCCGTGAAGCATTACCTTTGTATATAATTTGCAATGCAAATGTTTCCATAAGAGCTTAGTAGTGACCCAGATCTGTGAAAGGGTGTTTGCTGATGAAAAGCTCCTACTACTATTTGTTAGAAAGCATTGTGCATCTATTCTCTTTCTCTCTGCACATCTGCTAGGGGCCATAGGATAATTTAGATTCCCAAATGTGAGGTCAGAGCTGTTGATCTACATGCTGATGTTCTCCCATCCTTGCAGCTGCCACAGAAAGAACTACTCTGGCTTTTTTTCCAACGACAGTAAATCCATCTCTGAGAGGGCATAAAGTGGCAAGGGGAAGAGATGGCGGCCTGTAAGATATGATGTATTCTGATGGCATCCCTCCTTTTGCCCTTTGAAGTGCCTCAGCTGGACAGCTGAAAATGGCTGTTCAGCTAAAATACAGAGAAGTGTAGGAAGGCAGAGATCACTTCTGCCACTCCTTTGGTTCTATATCGGATGCTTGAAAATCTCAAAATCTCAATCTTACAAGCATTGAGGGCACAATCAAAGAACAATGGTGAATGAAGGTCTTTTCTGGAAGCACACTTTTGGGGGTTCTACTTTTTTTTGACTCTGTCCTCCTTATTGGTTTATTTCTTCAAAATGCTTGTACTTGCACATTCTCTGCTAGGACTACTGTAGACTGTTCAAAGTCTCCTACAAATAAATTCTCAAGGAAGGCTCTTTTCTTGATTAAACATTATTCAGCTATCTTTATTATTCAATTGTACTGATGGCATTACATGGACTAGTTAAAAACCTGTGCAGCTAAATAGGTAAGGTATTTGATCCTGTCCAGTAATGATAGTTAGTTAGTTAGTTAGTTAGTTAGTTACTGGTTTTGCATATCATTCACAAGAGAGATCCTGTCCTTTTCCTAATCAGCAAGATTAGGCTCCATTGCCAGTAGTGTACCCTGATCATCTTGCCAGTAGCTTGTCTGACTCCTTCGGTGAGCAACAACAGCCACTGTGGCAGTGTGTTCTGCCTGGCCTTGATGGAGAGGTGTTCTGATCACAAGGGTGAGCCCCCATTGTATGAGGTCAGGAGAGGCCATTGTTTCCTACACCTTGTTAGGAGCAGTCCAAATGTCAATTGCCTCCCTGATAGGATGTTCAGCCTTGGGAGCTGGGTACAGGATATTGCTGGGGCCTTGGCAATTACAAGATTTGCTTCACATCATAGCAGCTGTTCAGCAGACATCTTAAGACATTTTTGTCTCAGCCTTTTAAATACACCATCCCTTACACATTTTATTTTTTACAAAATGTTTGCTGCCTCTGAGGCACCGAAGGAGGTTGTGCCCAATGGAAAGTGAGATGTGTTGAATTAGTCTAAATTACTGGGGTTTATGCTGCTAGTTCAGCCTATAACAAGGCTGAACCTGGCAGAAAGTCCTTGCTTCTAGAAGCCTGGTCAGTGGGTTGGATCACATGAGTTGGCTGCTGTGTTTATATTTTGTTTTGTTTTATTCCCTTACAGATTTGCTCTTGTCAGTTTTTACGTCAACAGAGGAGTTTGGTGAAGATGATTAATTATTTCTGTGAGAAAGATTGCTTTCATTTTCCTTGTGGAGCCTGTTAGTTTCCAAGCTCAGCTGTGCCATTTTTGGTTTACCCTGATAAAATAAGGTATAAACTAGGGGATGGAACCCACCATTCTGTCAAGAGTCACATTCTCTGGAGGTGCATGCTTGCTGTGTGGCTGGAGCCCAAAGTGGGTGGGGTCACCTTTTTTTCCCCCTTTAAATCCATGTTTCTCTTTTCCTCTTGTAAGGAATGAAATCCAAGCAATGACGATACGGGAGGCAAAGTACCAAGCAGCAACAGTTTAATACGTTCTGGCCAGACCGGGCACTCACCCCAAAGGTAGTGCACTGGCGGAGCAGTTTACACAGCCTCTTATTGCCTACTTCACGCGCAAAGTCCCTGCCTCCTTTCTCCCATTGGCAGGATACTGGGAGTTCACATTCTTCTCGTCCGCCTTCATCATACTACTCCTTGGTATTTTACCCCCCCTGCTCATACGTCCCATGTTCATGTTAATAACCCTCTGAGTCATAGTAGGAGGCACACTAATATGCATTAGCTTATTACGCAGCCGTACCTTGGATGCTAAGTACAAAAGTTTAATGCCATGTCTGCCAATTACATCTTGCAGTCTATTAGTTTGTGTTGGTCACAATACTCTTATTAATCACGAAGTGATCTGTATAGCTTTACCCATTCTAGTCCTTTATAAGTGATCCATAGCTTTACCTGTTCTAGTTTGTTAGTCACAGTAATCTACTTCTCACACTCTGCTTCCTCCAAGCAGGCTGCCATGGAAGGGACAAATGTGTTGATGAAGGTCTGAACATGCAAAGATCTCCCCACTCTTTTAATCACACCATCCTATTAACCTTCCCTCCACTTTCCTTTCCACTCTTCTCCATCCAAATGTCAGCATGCAATTAGCCTGAGCACTACATGAGGACAGTGTGGGTTGTCCCCTGGATGAGTGCAATAGTTGACTTAAATATTCTTAACAGTAAGCATTTTTGCTCAGGGAAGGGAAAGTTAAGTGATTTTTGGTAATGTATGTAATTCAAGGTGACACTATGGCTATCCAATAAACGTTTAAAATAATGGTGCATTAGGAAGTTCACAAAAGAGTTAGAGGCAGTGTGGTATAGTAGTTAAAAGTATAGGACTGGGACTCAGACAATCTGGATTCTAGCCTCACTGGGTACTTTGATATACTGCTCAACAGCATGTCTTCCAGAATGGTTTACAAAAAAAGCAGTGCTAAAAATATAGACAATTACAATATGATATCCTGCAACAATTTCATCATTAAAAACAATAAAATAAACACAATCACAAAGGGCCATTGTAAATAAATGTATCCCAATTGTCAACCCACCAACCATTTGTCCTTACTCCAGTGGCATATTAATGGTGCCCACATAATCTCAACTCTGCTTAACACAATAGTAAAATTAAGTTTAAATAATTAAATGAATTCAAATAATAAGCAGAACAAAATTAAATACTAATAAATAAGAATAATAGAATGCCTACATCATAAAAATGGTCATTCCACAGCAGTCACAATTAGCATAAAATATAAAGTAAAAAAATTCTAACAATTAAAGTGTTGAGAAATAAAAGGTACTGGTTGGGTGCTGAAAAGTATGGAGTGATCTTATTGTGAGGTTATGATCAAGAGGATGAGGAGAATTATGTAAGCCACTTTGAATTCCTAGGAAGGAGAAACGTTGGGTTATCAATAAAGTTTCTTAGACCTTGTTGACTTTGTTTCCTGTTTTTATATTATGATGATGTCCATAGAATGACAGTGGCCCCATTCACTGATAGCCTTAACAAATTACTAGCTGGGCAATTGTTTCTCAGACCTTTTAAATTTGATCTTGTTCTGGTTCCTCCTTCGCCCATACTAATAATTTGTTCTGCTTGTGAGCACACAGTCGTCTTTACCTGCATTTGTGGGAAATAAGTTTGCTGGAGCATGCAAGGATCTTGGGGCTGTGGCACAAATCCAGCAATTGCATTGGAAGAAGAATAGGATATTCTGCCCCTACTGTGAAACCATACATATGGATGGACACACTGTTAGTACTGAGCAAGCACTATTGTGTTGGGATAATAGACCATGTGGAGGAGCATTTCCTCTTACAAATCTATTCTGGATCAATTAGGATCCTGTGTAAATATATGTTCAGTCCCTGAGAATTAGCTGATAGTGGGATGGCCTCTGGAGCTTATCCTTCCCTGGAACATTGCACTTTTGTTCAAATGCTTGGTGCCTTCTGGCACAGTTTGCAAACCACAGTACTAATAATGGTTTTTACCAAATGTGAGACATAGTTCTCTGTTTTCAAACATACTGAATGAATTCATTTCTTGATTTTTCTCCAAGGCAACTTCTGCCACATGTCCCAATACATAGATTTCAAAAATGCATTCCTCTTTTTTCTGGTGCTATGACGGTAAGTATATATTTGACTAACAGGAAAAGCACTGACTATTTTAAAAAAAACCTATAAAACCCCCTCCACACACACAACCCAATCATGTTTATAACCAAGTTGGTTAAAGCTTCCTTCCTGGTTACTAGAGCACTTCCTTTGCATCTGCTTATGAAGACAAGAAAAGCAGAACAGCTCACATTAACAACTCTTCATGTGAATGGTTGTCATTTTAAAGGCTTAAAAACTGTACAAATGAGTCTTCTCCAGCACCTCAGTTTCTCGTTTGCAGTCAGGTAATTTTTTTTTGCTAACTGTTGCATCTTTTTGCTTTTACTTATTTGGATTTTAGAAAACTAAAAAAAGACTGTTCAATAATTTATGCTGTCCCAGTGTAGTTTTGTTATATTCAATTTCTTGTGTTAAGTTTTTCTGGCAAACAAAGACAAGGAAGGGATTGCCAAAAGGTGGATTTGTTCTGGAAAAAAGCTGCTGTTGAGCAACATAGTACCTGTTAAGGGGAAACTAAATCAGAAATGCTCTGTGTCCGTTATCCTTCATTTCCTTTGATGTAGTAGAACTGAAACCGAGTGCAAATTTCTATTTTCTTGACATCAGTAAGTCAAGATGGTAGAATTTGACTGAGACAAACTGAGAATCTTTCCTTTCCTACTTGTGATTGATTTTGTTCTGATCATCCAAGGCAATTCTGAGTACAATACAATTTTTTATGCAGTCTTTTCACTGCTATAGTTTTATTAAAACTAGAAAAATTTATACAGAAAGTGGCATGCTAAACAATAATTTAAGTATGCATAATCTAATTCGCATACTGATTAAATTAGTACAGGCATTAAAGGCATACATCATTACATTTAACCCTTGGAAATAGCTGTTATTAAGCAACATGAAGCTGCTAATTTTAAAGTAAGCCTCAGGCATTGTAGCAGATCTTCAAGAAAGAGTGCCAGTTTATAGAAAGGGTTGACTGAATTTCTTATGAAGACTACAGGACATTAGATACTGTGGTAATCATGGGGTGGCAAGAATTTATATGCTTACCATACTAGCATTTTTGGGTAGTGATGTGGTGGGAGGGGCAGGATCAGATTCCTGAGCATTAGCAACAATATTTTAGGAGCCAGAAGCAAATTTTAGTGCTTAAGCCAGATCCTTGGATCTTCCTTAGGCCAGTCTTTGTATAAAAGGCGCATAAGTTCAGCAAATGTTTTTCAAATATGATGTTTTCAAGCATTTATATTGTGCTTTTGTGTGTGTAAAGCATTTCACGTAACTGTTGAAAGAGAGGGTCTAAAACAAAACAGCCCAGTAGTGATAGTGGGAGTTCAATTTGTTGAACTTCAAAGAAAGTGCTTTAAAGCCACCTTGTGAAGAATTTTCTATTCCTGAAGTTACATAGGGTTTGTCCTGGCTTGTGTCTAGATGAATATTCTATCTGTACTGCTCCATAATCTTGAAAGTCAGGTGGTTTAATAATAAAAGAGATAACATGATAAAATGGAAAACATTAGACAAGAAACTTGAGGTTTAGGTTCACAGAGTCAGATCTGAGGTTTTTGATCAGCATAGTGTTGTGGTCCCTTCCTCTCCCCTCCCCCCATATATGAGAAAGCTTTTCTGTATTTCAGTTAGTTCCATTTTTGGGCAATAGGCTACTTAGGGAAACCTGCCTGAACACATATCAACATCCTATTCAGATACATGGACTGGACCATATTTCTCAAAATGAAACAATTTTAAATCTCATCGACTTGAATGGGAAGAAATGAAAGGGATTTAAAAATGCTAAACTCTGGCTGGTTTGTGACTGATATCATTTATGAAAGTTTAGCAGCAATAGGCTGGTGGCAGCCAGAGAAAATTGACCTGATTCTTTTCTGTGTTTTCATAGATTTCTTGAGGCATGGACAGCAGTGAGCACCCTGTTGTTATGAGAGACGACAACAAACGGAGGAGGAGGAGAATGAAGCCACACTGTACGGCAAGCACTTTGTCTTCAACAGAACAGATAACCATTGAATTTGTTCTACCCACAAGCAACATGTTAATAGATGTCGCCAGTAACTGTACAGTAGAACAAATGAAAGCACAGGTTTGGATGCGAGCAATAGAAAGGAACCAGACCTCAGATTTCTACCATAAATTCACCCCTGATCAATTTGTACTTCATTACCAAAAGAAGGGACAGTGGTATGAAATTTATGATAAACATCAGATAATACAGACCCTTGACTGTATATTGTATTGGAAGGTGTTACAAAAGAAGGTGGGGAAAATTCATGTGGTCCAAAAGCAAAAGCCCACAGAAGAAGCCCAGGAGTTTCAAAAGCAGCTCAATTACTTGATTGGCTATGATGTCACTGATGTAAGTAACGTCCATGATGATGAATTGGAATTTGTTCGTCGCAGGTTAGTCACTCCACGAACGATTGAAGTATCTTGTAGAGATCCAAAATTATATTCAATGCATCCTTGGACTACATCTAAACCCCTTCCAGAGTATTTGCTTACCAGAATTATTAATAATAACATATTTTTAAATATTCACAGAGGAACAACTAGCCAGAAGATTAAAGTAGGTATTGATGACACTCCAAATGTAATCCTTCAGAGCTTTTTCACAAAAATGGCGAAGAAGAAATCTTTGATGAACATTCCTGAAGATAACAGTGAGCTAGATTTTGTGCTTAGGGTGAGTGGAAGAGATGAGTATATTGTAGGAGAAACACCTATCAAAAATTTCCACTGGATAAGGCAGTGCCTTAAGAATGGGGATGAAATTCACCTGCTCTTGGATGAACCACCTGACCCTAATCAGGATGAAGTACAAAAAGAAGAGTGGCCCTTAGTGGATGATTTCACTGGAGTTTCAGGCTATCATGAACAGCTGACCATAGATGGCAAAGATCATGAGAGAGTATTCACTATATCACTGTGGGATTGTAATCGGAAATTCAGGGTTAAAATAATTGGTATTGATATTCCTGTTTTACCAAGGAACACTGACCTTACTGTATTTGTGGAGGCTAATATTCAACATGGGCAGCAGCTCCTTTCACAGAGAAGAACTACAGCTAAGCCATTTACTCAGGAAGTCCTGTGGAATGCTTGGCTTGAGTTTGATGTCAAGATTAAAGACTTGCCCAAAGGGGCACTGCTGATGCTGCAGGTATATTGTGGCAAAACACCAGCATCATCCACAAAGGCTAACCTCCAGTCAAATGATCCTCCCACCTGTGATCCTAAATGCAAAACCCAGCTTCTCTATTATGTAAATATTTTGATGATAGATCACCGTTCCCTGCTCCGGACTGGTGACTATGTGCTTCATATGTGGAAAATTCCAGGCAAAGGGGAAGAGCAGGGAAGCATAAATGCTGATAAACTTACATCAGCCACCAATCCAGATAAAGAGAACTCAATGGCTATTTCCATTGTTCTTGACAAATACTGTCATCCAATAGCCTTGCCTAAGCATAAGATAGCATGTGATCTACAAGGAGACAGGGTTAGAGCTGAAATGCCCAACCAACTGCGCAAACAGCTTGAAGAGATCATAGCTACTGATCTACTTAATCCACTTACACCTGAAGACAAAGAATTACTGTGGCATTTCAGATATGAAAGTGTAAAGCACCCTAAGGCATATCCTAAGCTGCTTAGCTCAGTGAAATGGGGACAACAAGAAATAGTGGCTGAAACATACCAGTTATTCGCAAAAAAAGATGCCTGGGATCGCAGCACTTTGGATGTTGGGTTGCCAATGCAGCTTCTAGACTGCAACTTTGCTGACGAACATGTGAGAGCTATGGCAGTGCAAAAGCTGGAGAGTTTAGAAGATGATGATGTTCTTCATTATCTCTTGCAGCTAGTTCAGGTAAGATGGATATGCATCCTTGCACATCTGGTGCTTGGTATACATGCCCAATTGCAACAGTACTCTGAAGACAGGAAGCAGTGGTGTGTGCTTTTCCCCCTCACAGCAGATCACGACTGCTGCAGTAATGCCATTATAAGCATATCAGTGATATTGTTCATATATGATGAGCCTCATGTCTATCTCTTGATTACTTTTCACTTGATATGCTGCTATGGAGAAGGTTGAGCTTCATGATGTGCTAAAATTCAGGCGTTTATTCCAAAATCTAATTTGCTTGAATTTTTGACATTCATGCAGCTGTTAAAGTGTGAACAGCCAGGCCTGGAAAAAATGGGAACCATACTCATTTCAAAGGAATGTTTTGCCCAAGAAATGGATTTTGGAGTAGAAACGGGAGGAATGACCTATCCTTCCAGCATTGGCTGAGGCTCCTGCATCTCCACTGGATTCCTCTAGAGGCAGAGAGGAGGGTCTTTCCTGGGGAAGGGCCTGGAAGCTCAAGAATGCTCCAGGAGGCAAATGCATCCCTTCCTGAATCTCTGCAGGCCAGAGGTTGTGCGTCCCTGTCAAAAGTGGTAATTTAAGCTCTTACTTGGCATGGGGAGGCAGAAGTCCTTACACATGCAGTTTTCCATGATGTAACTGGGAACTATAGCATGAAATAAGCTATAGCACTAGAAATAAGGGATTCAGAAATTCCACTATGCAAATGATGCTTTCTACATTTCTAGATTAGGCTCTAATGATAGAATAATGCATTTTCTACTTTCCATGCGTTATCATCACATTCAAAGTCATATGGAGAAAAAGGAGAAGCAATTCTATCAGCTTGCTTGCTTGCTTATTTATTTATTGCTTTTATATACCGTCCAACTATTAGCATCTCGGGATGGTATATACTCCTGAATTATGTTACATACAGTTGAGGCAGCCTTATTCCTTTCCAGGAGTGAATAAGTGAGTGACTACTATGTGTTTAGACCCAATTGAGGAAAAACTCCAGAATATTAGTATATAACTAGACTAAATGCTTTTGTGAGGAATGTTTAAGTTGAACAAAGCACAACCTTCCTGAATAACAGGAGTATTGGGTCTTGTTTGTCTTAAAAAGCTTTAAAGGTGCTTTTAATTAGGATTGTTCATCTTGTAGGTGGCACAGAAATGTCATTGGAAAGCTGAAATAACCCCCTTTTCCATTTACTTTTTTTATCAGGCTGTGAAATTTGAGCCTTATCATGACAGTGCATTAGCTCGATTTCTTCTAAGACGAAGCTTAAAGGTAAGTATTTGATATTTAAAATGAGAAGACATCTACACATATTGCCAAAATAAAGTCTGTTAAGAAGATGTCTCATCTTTTAATGTGTTCTTTGCCTGGCACTCATAGAACAAAAGAATTGGACACTTTTTGTTTTGGTTTTTGAGAAGTGAGATTGCACAGTCCATGCATTATCAGCAGAGATTTGCTGTGATCCTAGAAGCATATCTGAGAGGCTGTGGGAAAGCAATGCTACAAGATTTTATGAAGCAGGTTCAAGTAACAGAGTTGTTGCATCGAGTGACAATGGAGATAAAGTCTATTTCTGCTGAAAAGTATGATGTCACTCCTCAAGGTATGTATAATTTTAATAAGTACAATCTTATCTGCCATATGTTTGGTTTTTAGTTTGTTAATGAAAGCTGAGCTGCAAAGTCCATGGTGTTTTTGCATCATCAGTAGCGAGTGCAGCTGCAGTTTTAAAAACAACAGATCATTGGCTAGTTGAAACATTGAGATCAGTGTGACAGTAATGCATTTTGCTACAATTTGAGCTGCCAGGACTGTTCTTTCTATCTGGGCTTTGAATGTAGCTAATGCCTCAGGAAGGGAGGTTGCAGTGCCTGCACGCTTGGAGGGAAGGCTATGCTGAGGAAACACAACTTGGACCCAAATGGTTTAAATAACAAGAACCCCACTGTCTGCCTTACTTGGACTAGATGGCTGAGCTTATTCTGGCACCTCAGCATCATATATCCCTTGACAAAAGAGATCTATTTTTATCCTTTTCAGTCTGGGTAGCACTAAGAACTGCCAATCTGGAAGCATCTCTTGAGATCAGCATCAGAGGCCCTGCTCTCCATTCCATTTTATGTAAGATCAGACAGGCTGGGACAAGAGAAGGCCTTTTTGGTGTGGCACTAAGATCATAAATATCCTCCTAATTCCACTGGGCGCCCTCTTTCTGTTTTAGATGGCTTTGAAGCATAGTCTTTTTCTATAAGTAATTGAGCTGCTATTTTAAGGGATGTTTGTGGTCTGCTTCTTTTAAATTGTTGTGTTTTATTGATGCTTTATGACTGTCTTGATGGTGTGTTGATGGTTTATTTCACTTTGTTGATGTGTATGTAACTTGCTTTGTTAGGAAGCTGATTTTATTTTGCTCTGCTAGGAAGTTGCTTTACTATCAATCTCCTCCTAGCTACTGAATTCTGACTGTTGAACCTTTTTTTTTTTTACTCAATGGTAAATGTTCAGTAATCACACAGCTCAAACAGAAACTTGAGAAACTACAAGACAGCAAGTTTCCTGAGTGCTTTAGAGTTCCATATGACCCTGGCCTGAAAGCAGGGGCACTTGTGGTAAATACAATTCTTTCTTTAATAGTGAACTCAGGTAATGACTGAAAACAGCATTATAGCCAAAAGAGGGCTACTGAGAATCCGTGAGAGGAGGTGGTATTATTATTATCATCATCATCATCATTATCATTACTGTTACTACTATTAATTTTATTTCTATACCACGCAGTCACTAAAGCTACTGGGGGCTACTACAGAGAAAGCCGTCCCTCATGTTGACACCCTCTACGATTCCTCAGGAGTTGGTGCTTGGAGAGCCCTGGATACTGAGTGTAGTGTTTGGGTAGATTGTGGTTGGAAGAGGCATTCTGTGAAGTATTATTATCTTAACCTGTTAAAGCCAGTACTTGAATTGGGCTTGATAGCATATAATGTAAGAGGGCCACAGCTGGTCGTAAATGTTTAAACTTATGGGTTACTATTGTGGCTGTTGCATTCCCCACCAGTTGCAGCTTCTGAAAAATCTTCAAGGGCAGTCCCACTTTAAGTGCACTGTAGTAGTTTAATTTAGAGATCCTAGAGCATTTTTAGAAACCAGGCTGTCCCTGTCCTTATAGTGCATAGCAGGGCCATTAGTGGAAGCTGATAGAAGACACAGTGCCATTGAAGCCACCTGAGCTTCAGATGTCAAAGACAGATCAAGAAGAAGCCCTGAGCTATGAACCTGCTCCTTTGGGGGAGTACAACCCCATGCAGAATAGGTTGAACAACCCCCATTGTCAGAGGAACCACTCATTAACAGCATCTCAATTGTGTCAGGATTGACCTTCAGAGGGGGGTTTTTTGCCCTCATCCAGTTGTTTGTTGCAGGCAGGAACCAGTTTTGCACATCCCCAGCCTTACTTGTAAAGGATGAAAAGGTGAAATATAGCTGCATGTCATCAGCTTACTAATGACAATGCACTCCAATTTTAGATGACCCTACTAAGCTGTTACATGTAGATGTAAAATAGTATAGGAGACAGAACAGACCCCTCAGGAGGTCCATGCTGGAGAATCCATGGGGTCAAATAGTATTCCTTAGGCACCACCTTCTGGAGATGGCACTCCAAGTAGGAGTGAAACCACTGGAATGTATTACCCTCCTTTTCCCAACCAAGAAGGTTGCCCTAGAAAGATAACATGGCTGATGGCATGTTCAGGTGAATCCTAAGGCCTTCAGAAAAGAAGATATATCTTGACAACAGCACCATATCCCTGCAAAAAATGGCAGTTTTAAAAATATTAGTGAGGACTGAGAATGCTAAATGTTATCAAAGAACCATGGAATGTTGAGTGTGTTGCTGGAAAATAGAGGTGGAAAGCTGGCTGGGGCGGGAAAGGAGAGAATTCATCTGCTTGTGTTCCTGTAGAGCCTAGAGACACTATAGCTGGTTGAAAACCTTTTCATTCCATTCCCTTTATTTCATTTTTGTACCACCCAATACGTGAAGCTCTCTTTGGCAATCTCTGGCTAAACCTGAGCAGGAGTGTCCTTGTTAGGACAAGGGCAGGGAACCTCTTTCACTTGAGGGCCAAAATCAATTGTGGAGAAGTTCTCAGGCTGTATTCCAGTGTTGGGCAGGGCCAAAGGCAAAAGCTGTGGGCTGCAATTCCAAAAATACCAGCAAATTTTAGGTTAAAGCTTAAAGCTAAGCTTCAAGAGAGGGATTTCAACCTTTTAGAATGTGTGCATGTTGCAGGAGAGGGCTGCAGAAAAGCAGATTGATGGTTTGGGGAAAGGTGGTGTGCCAAGGGAGGTGACATGGCCATTTGAGGGGCCTCAGAAGGACCCATGGAGGGCCACATTTGATTCCTGAGCTGAGGTTCCCTACTTGTCTGTTAGGGGGTAAGGATATATTATGATATATTATTGCAGCTTGCTTTATCTAAAGATGTCTAAAACTGCTAGGAGACAGGAACATCAGATGGAAAGTAACAAAGCAAAACATAGAGAACCTCCAGACATACTGAAACTAATATACTATGAGGTCATTATTTGCTCATCACCAGGTTCATGACTATGTCTTCTCAATGGTTAAAGAGAAATCAGTGCTATGCAACTTTCTGGGTGTATTTCAAGATGACTGCTTTAGTTTTTGTTGTGATACATTCTAGCTTCTACTGTACCTTAAACCTCTAGGCCATGGTTGGGCAACTTGTGGCCCTCCAGATGTTTTGGCCTACAGCTCCAATGAGTCCTAGATAGTACAGCTAGCGGTAAGAGCATAATGCTCTTATTTTATCTTCTATCCACACTAGCCTGAGTTCTTTAAAAAAATGTATATGTTTGCTTGGGAATTCTTCCCAGGTATAGTTATTTAGGAGTAAATCACACTAAGTTCAGTGGGGGTTATTCCCAAATAACTGTGTATAGGAGTGCATTTGACTCACTGATGGAATAATCAAATTATTATCACAATGCACATAGTTGGTTGGTTCTAATTATTCCTTTCCTCCAGTTCCTCTCTTCAAATAGAGAAAGGTGAAATTTGGGCATAGTACATTTCATAAAGATGAGTTTGACCAAAGGCAGGTCTATTTCAAAACAAATTCTTAATTAAGTCTATTTGAAAGTAGATGTATGACTGATTTTTAATCAGTTCTGGCTATAGGAAACTTACGATTTTATATCTTGCAGATAGACAAGTGTAAAGTAATGGCTTCCAAGAAGAAACCACTTTGGCTAGAATTCAAATGTGCAGATCCTACATCCTTATCTAGTGAAACAATTGGCATCATCTTCAAACATGGGGATGACTTGCGACAGGACATGCTGATTTTACAGGTATTATCTGGGTTACATGCTATTGAAAATTAAATTCTTCCTTAGAGAAGCCCCCCTCCCCCCACTTTTTGCTCAAACTGGAAAATATGTATGCAAGCATCATATGTGGACTGCTTATAAATATGGGAGTGAGTACTGCTGGATGACCTTTTAGCTGCTGGATGATGTTGTACTGCTTTTTGTGCTGGTTGTTTTTTTTAATGGCCATGTATATTAAAAAGTTGCCATTTAATGCTATATGTTACGGCTTCTAGTCTACCTAACTAAAGATGAACATATACCACTGTTTCTAGACTTTTGATACTGGTTGTTTTGATAAAAATCAAACAGTGGCTTTGATGAGAAGGGGATGTGATGAAAACACTGTCACCCTTCTTCAGTGTCATCTGGACTCTGTGCTGTGTGATCTGTGAATCCTGGCTGAGTTTCAGCCTAAAGGGGGCACATTACCATGGTAATGTATGAGGTAGTTCAGGTAGCTTTCATTATTTTGATTGGATATTGTATTAAAAGTTCTGTACAACATTGTACAATGGTTTATGGCCTGTCTTATTTATGATTCCTTTCTTTTTTCCCCTCCTTTTCCATTTCATTGTAAATATCCCTGGTAAAAAACTTTCCTTTTGCTTCCTTCATGTCTGAATGTTCCTCTTGGGTAAGGTCAGTGCTGATTTCGGTGCTTTGAGCCATTTGGTTGTGCATTCAGGTTGAAGAATGGAACAGAGAGTAGTGGCTTGTTGCATTCTTACTTCATTTGTCCAAAGACGGAGAGCCCCATGCCTTGGACTGGAGTAGATGGTCTGGCGGTAGAAGCTTACCAGTTAATTTTGTTGTTGCCTCCCAGAATGAAAGCTGGTGAATTTTTACTTTCCTTTACAGTAAAACTTCATATTAGTGTTTTTTCTTTTAATTAGATACTTCGCATAATGGAGTCAATCTGGGAAGAAGAATCCTTGGATTTATATTTGTTGCCATATGGCTGCATTTCTACAGGAAATAAAATAGGTACTGAATTTAACAAGACCAAGGTTTCAGCAAATCTCTGTACTGGCAAGAATTGAAATACTTTTGTGTTAGACTTTGTTCTGTTACTTTTCCTTACATTTGGAATGGCATTCTAGGCCAATGAGTAAATGGAGGAAATTGACTGAAATGTTTTCTCTAAAATACCTTTTCTGTTGACTCTCGTTAGTAGAGTTTGCCGTCCTCTGAATACTTCACCCACTTCTGCTCTGTGACCTGGATGCCAGTTTAATTTTGCAGTGGTGGTTTATGCAAGATGAATATTGTACACAGTCACTTTTGTTGAAAGAACTGTAATGAGTGACATAGGTGTTTCATCATAGCATCTAATCCAGTTTGAATGTCACACTTGGATTTATCTGTGGCAGAAATATTCTTTGGTATCACCTAATTGCAGCAAATACTTGGAACGGTTTCAGTTGTTATGAAGTTCTCCCAGAGAGCGCCTTATTGTTTATAATCAACATGTTAATTGTGGTTGCACAAACAGCAAGGATACGTGTTGGCTACTGCTCACAACATGATTAGTGACACACCTTTTCTCTCCTCACTTTCTGATTAGGCTTGCCCCATTTAAGTGTTAGGGTGGATGGAATACTTTATGAACAAAGCAAAACATGGGTTGTATATAGCCCATGTAATTTAATTCAATTTAGTGACATGCGTCTGACTAATATTGGATAGACAATATTAAATTAAGACAATACATATCTTTTAATTTATAGGAATGATTGAAATTGTCAAAGATGCCACAACAATTGCCAAGATTCAGCAAAGCACAGTTGGAAACACAGGAGCATTTAAGGATGAAATACTAAATCAGTGGCTAAAGGAGAAGTGTATCATTGAAGAAAAAGTGAGTATTCCTTTTTTTGTTTGTTTGTTTCACAGTGTAATAATTACAGAAATCTGTTTTTTGCAAGTTATGGTGTGGGTAAAACTAGTGCTTCTTTTTAACATTTTCAGGTTTAGAAATTAACTTCTATCCATTCCATGCCAACAGGAATAGTTAAATAACTGTTTAAAAATTGTAGTGGGAAACTTCCAGTGAATTGTTTATTCTTGTATCAAGTATGCTGTATTTTATGACTGGGAAACCATTTTTAAATTATCAGCAGAAATTGATCAAGTGTCATGGGTTGCTGGTGTTGGAGCCAGTAATGGGCAGAGCCAAAGCCCAGATGAGCAGGGACAAAGCCCTCCATCATTGTCTTTCTAGTGTGCATCACACCCCTTCTCTCTCCCCACTCTTTGGGCTGAGATGCAAGAAGTGGGATTGGGAGGAAAGGCCATGAACCAGATGGGAGCTTTCTGTAAATCACATCTGAGTTGAAAGTTCCCCACCCCTGCTGTATATGGAGTTGTGTTTACCTTTCCGTATGACATCCTGAAATATTAGCCTTCTAATATTTCAGGTTGTGCCCCAGGTCGCTGCCTTAAAAATATCAGAAGTGGTTTATTTGGAATTTTCCAGACTTCTAAATTGTGTTAAAGGCTTGCCATTTTCTTTTGCATGCTTTATTAATGTTTCTGTCTTGTTTGATCATTTGTAAAACAGCCACAACAACAAACATTGTAGAATGTTAAGTTCATTAAGATGCCAACACTAACGTGCTGTTTGGCCTTGATGGCTTTATATAAGACTTGGAAAACAGAGATTTGCACAATTTATTTTGTTTTACAGTTAAAAAAATATTCTTGTATACCCAGTAAGTTAATAATCAAATCTCCTCCTCAACAGCTGTTTTCTATTAGTTTCAGGCAGCAGTGGACAGATTTGTGTATTCTTGTGCTGGTTACTGTGTGGCAACTTTTGTACTTGGAATAGGAGACAGGCATAATGACAACATCATGATTACAGAATCAGGTGGGTTGATCCTTACTATTTACGCCTCAGCAACAGCTATTTCAGTGACATTTGAAATAGCTAAGTCTATATTCAGTTGCTACTCTAATATGACCAAGTCTTTCATTCACCTTTCCTTTCCCTGGCCTTTTTTTCAAAATGCTGCCATTTACATCAATAGAGAAGGGACCATATATAATAATATCCAGTAGGAAAGAATTGTTGATGAATTGGAAATAGAAGATGAAAAACACCTTTGGACAAAATGGTTGTTTAGGGCAGTTGTTTTCAACCACTGGTATGGGGACTGGTGCTGGTCTGTGGGAGGTTTCTCTTCAGTCTGTGCGGGGTGCATCCCACTCACTGTGGACCAGCGTAGGGGCTGGCTGTGCTCCACCACCTCTTCCTTGGTTCACATCACTATCATGGGGTGCACTGGAGGGACTGGGAAGGGGAGAGAGAACTCAGTGGGAGCTGGCTGGGAGCCACACGCCAGTTTTGGTATTTTGTTGGCATTTTTGTTGCTTAGTTTCTGGCTGTTCTGGAGAATTTTCATTTTGTTGGTATTGTGTTTGGAAACTAATATACATAATAATGGTGCCTTCTTTTTCTGCTTCTGTGTTCCTTGAGGTGGTTTTCCTGTTTTTGCAGGTCTCCAGCTGTGGAAAGGTTGAAAACCACCAGTTTAGGGTGCAATTCAATGCATGTTTAAAATGGAAAAAGGTCCTACAACTACCAACATTCCCCAGCCAGTCACAATGATGGAAGAATTCTGGAAGTACTGGGACTTTTTTCTGTCTAAAGATGCATAGAATTGCACTCCAAATTATATTACGTGTCTGATGGCAGATGCAAAAACAATAACACACATCACCTGTGTTGTAAACTCAGCTTTTGCACAATATCATTGCAAGTCAGCCAAGCATTTTAGCCTTGGTATTGTGCATCTCCTTGCATATAAGGCAGGCTGTCTGCCTCTTTTTTTTGCTTAAAGATTAACTTAACTGAAAAATGAAAAATCACAGACTTGAAAATCAGTTGCATAACTGATTGAAGTATGCTGAGGATGTAGTGGGCACTAGAAGTGTCCTCCCACAGCCAGCTATTTTCCAATTCAGGTTGAACCACTCAAACCTTGCAAACCTATTTTTTCCCCAGACTTCACCCCCAGAAAGAAAGAAAAGTTTACAGAGCAGTGGAGCTAGTATCCACCTACTGCTCTTAGAACTTTGTCTACAGTTTCTTGGGATCCTTAAGAATGGGAAGAAAAAGGAACTGCAGAGTGCAGTCATTAGGTTATAGAAAAGTTTTGACAAAGGTTTTGACGAAGCTAGAGCTATTTCCATGGAAAAACAAGGTAAATTGGGGCCACACTGAGGTTTGGAAGAGAGTTCAAGAGGGCTTACTGTATTTGAAAGAAGGCACAGTAGAAGGATGGTTGAACATTTGTAATTAGGCTAAAAAAGTATACACAATCAAAATCTACTTTGCACCTGTAAATGGGTCTTTTTACTGATTGATTTCTTAATATTGATTTCTTCCCAAGGTAATCTGTTTCATATTGATTTTGGGCATATTCTTGGAAATTATAAAAGCTTCCTTGGAATTAATAAGGAAAGAGTTCCATTTGTGTTAACACCAGATTTTCTTTTTGTTATGGGAACCTCTGGAAAGAAAACAAGCTTGCGCTTTCAAAATTTTCAGGTACGAAAACATAATCTATGAGTCGAAATGAAATTATAAGAGTAGTGTGCAGCACCTCAGACTTAAACCTAGCCAAAATCTTCTTAGATTTTTTTTGTGAAGGAGGAACAGTTTTTCTCTGTAACAAGGCTAACCCACTCTTTACTGCATGTATTTTAATGGGACAAAATATTATTGCACAAGTGATTCTGTATCCTGGCTAGACTACTGCAGCTTCCCTCTTCTTGTATATTTGACAGTTTTCTTCATGTTACAAAAAAAAAGTAGATGATACCAGGAAAGTAGCCCCCTTCCATTTCTGCCTTCTTCATGACTCTGATGCCCTGTTTGCTTCTCAAATCTTGTGGGAGTCTAACACACTATATCAGTTTCACTCATTGTCTTTAAACAGTTGGCAAAAATGAATCCTGGTGGTTCCTACAAGTTAACTGAATCTGGAAGCCTACTTGCCTGCTTTTACTGATCTTCCCCTGTAATAAGCAGCTTCAGGAGAGACTGCATCCAAAGTTGCATGTTTGGCAACTGCAGGGCAAGAGTGAAATGGAAAAGAAGCTTGACTGGCTTCTTGCACAATTCAAGTGCAAGGAATCTGTCTCTAAATCTGTCTCTAAAAACTCTGAAGCCTCTAGGGTTCCTTGTTAGAAAAATTCAATGTAAAGGAAGTTTAATGATAAAAGGAAATTTAATCTATGGTTTTCAGACACGCCCACCTCAATTCATATACACGTGTGTGCAAAACAATCTTCTCCAAATTTATTAGCCACAAAATTCATTGTACTGGGACTTCTTGCATCCTCCTTGGGTTCTATTTTCCATGTTTCTGTGAACCCTTTCCCAATTGTAATATGTCTGTATCCCAGAGCAGGAGTAGAATGGGCACAGTGAGTACAGACAAGTGATCAGCATAGTAGCAGTTAATGTGAAAAAGCAGTTATTGACTACACACAAGACCGACAAAAACCGACTCAGAATCAACCCTAATTCAGAACTGAGGTTTTAGTCCTGTTGATTTGAAATGCTCAGTCATTTTAATATGCTTTGTTTTTTTTTTTTTTTTTTTTTTGTAGGAGATCTGTGTGAGAGCTTATCTTGCTCTTAGGAAACATACAGACCTTCTCATCATTCTATTTTCCATGATGCTAATGACTGGAATGCCTCAACTGACTAGCAAAGAAGATATTGAATATATCCGTGATGCATTGACGGTTGGCAAAAATGAAGAGGCGGCTAAAAAGTATTTCCTAGATCAGATAGAAGTTTGTCGAGATAAAGGCTGGACTGTGCAGTTCAATTGGTTTTTGCATCTTGTCCTTGGAATTAAACAAGGAGTAGAAAAACATTCTGCCTAACTATTGTGCATACAGATAACCAGCAAGGAATGTGCTGCTCCTTTTGATGGTTTTTAACTGGAATGATCTGAAAAGGCTTCCAGGGGCATTGTGGCTGTCAAAATGCAAATTTCCTTGCAGCTGTCTGAGTTTTAAAGGTACTAATACTGCAAAATGATAATTTAATATAGGCAATTTTTCCCCTATTTACCACAGGTGATAAGCTAAAGCAGTTTTTCCAACCTGGCACCATCCAGATGGTCTTGGACTGAAGCTTCCAGCCAATATAGCCATTTGCCTTGCTAGCTGGGAATGCTGGGAATTGCATTTCAACACACCTGGAGGGTACCAGGTTGGAGAAAAGCTGAGCTAAACAAAATTTAGATGACAGCACTGAGAAGGCAGTTTGTCGGCCTCTTGTTTTGTTGGCTAAATAATGTAAATCTTAGGGAGGATGGATCTCCTTAAGAGTCAGAAAAAAAATATTAAAACAGTATTTTTGTTCTTTCTCCTTAAGCCATGTAGAGTGCTATGCTATGCAAGTTAGCCAGTAAAAAGGCCTAAAACTCCCAATGTGCTCCAGCCAGTAAAGGCCTTTTTTGTCTAATCTTGTATAGGATTGTGACTTTAATTGTCTTAAGGTCTTCAGTAATACATTGTTGCCTTTTCAAAATTGCACTTTTAGGATGTTTCCCTGGTTTCATAATTCATTCCTTTTTATTGATTTGCTTATTTAATCTCTATATCACCCAATAGCCAAGGCTCTCTGGGCAGTTTACAGCAGCACGTTAAAAATGGAGTATAAAATACACCATATTAAAACATCATCATAAAAAAGCTCACATACAGAATTGTATTAAATGCATACATTTTATTTTCCATGGACTTCTGCATGGAGAATTAGAGAGAATGCCCTTCCCTTTGCAGTAATCCTGATAAAAATCCATTCTCTTGCAAAGCTGGTATTTCTCCCAGGTAGGAAATTCATCAACATATAAGCAATGCCTGTGCAAAGTCTAGAACAGGAGGCCAATGAGATTACATTGCCAGGCAAGCTGAATTAACAAATTTCTCTGGAAAACTCAATACAATGTTTTCACTTTTAGAGAATCAAAAAACATGTTCAAAGTTTACTGTAGACAAATGTTCCTAACTATACAACATTCTTGCAATTTTATTGACTGCTTTCTGTATCAGACCAAGAAGAATAGTGTTGCATCATTTACTGAGGAGAGCCATAGATTGGATAATGGCAAAAGACTTCCATTAGAATTGATTTAAGAATAGAAGGCTGGTGAGGTACATTTTATAATGATGTCACTGTAAGGTCAGTCATTCATATTTATCACTGGAAAGATGGAAAGAGTAAACTGGAACTTTAGATGAATCTTTTTGGAAGCAAAAGCAGATAGTCACTGACTGATTCTTGTAATTTCTTTGAAGCTGGAGAATTAAATTGTAGCAGCTAATTTGCACTGGCGGGGGGACGGGACTACCAAGAGTCATAGGCAGTCAAATATAATCCTTACATGTGCTAGAGCAGGAGCTGGGCAGTAACCATTTCCATGTGGAGTATAATTCTGTCCCTACTGTTGTATGATGTGTGGAAATAACAAGGGAAGCCCTACATTAATATTTTTTGCTAAGACAAGAGAAACACCCTGTGGAAAAGATTTTCCTCTACCTGAACAATGACAGTGAACTAATTTTAAATATGTCAAGCTTAAGTCATTTTTTGAAAAACACTGATATTTTTCACTGCATTGAGCTTGACATATTTATACTAATTGCAGAGTAAATTCAGTCAAATATTACCAAGTTTGTAAAGTTTGGTACTTGTTCTTTCGAAGAAACTACCCAATTCCCTGTTTTACCAAATGTTTGAAAAAAATATCAAAAGGTTCTATATTTCCTCACTACCCATTTGTTCATGTGCAAGTACATGTATGTGTGCCACAGTCAGGGAGCTACTATGACCATATTCAGCAGTTTGTATATAGATGGTGTAACTTTGATTGTGAGCAGCAGGTGCCTGCTGCATCAGATAGCCTCTTGCATTCTTCTGAGTTTTGAAACTGCTCTGCCATGCATTGTGGGGATTTATGATTGAGAAGCAGACATTCAAACGTTTACTAGGCACACAGACCTGATCACAGGATTTCCTGGATTGTGGCCCAAATCAAGAAAACTTTAATATTTTGCCAGAGTTCTTTGTATTTTACAAACTGAGCATTTATTTCCCAATATGGGAGAATTCTTTGACTTTAGTAGTGCACCATTATGAAATAGGGTCTAAAGAGAAAGTGTGGTCAAGATATCCATGAGGTGTATTAAAATCTTTTAATCATATATTAAATGTAGAATGATGCTGAGAATGTATAATTGACTCTGAAATTATAGGAACCTTGCGAAGAGTATACATTTTGACTTTGAATTGGATCATAATACTGGATACATCTATACAAAGAAAATACAGCTTGAAATATTTATTTCTATGTGTTATGTAAAATACCAATTTAGTATGCTTTACAGGATTTTATCTATTGTAAGTTCTATATAAAGCATACCTATGGAAGTGAGACTTAAGATTAACACTGGATACAAACTATAGTTTGCATATTATATACAAAAGCAACATGTCTTCTTTGTTTGCATAAGTAATGACATTGCTCAGATTTTAACAAAGTAATTCACATAGGGTATTGAAAAAATGACCTTGTGCTAACTTGGCAAGCATTTTATTTTCTTCTTTGTTTACATTGTTGCCCTATGAGCCCTGATTTTCATATAAGACTATACATCAGAAAGACTGCATTATTGGAGCTGGACTAAATGGGAAGACCTCTCCTAAACATACTTTTATAGGTTTTTAAAAACTCAAATCATTTGTACTGTACCTGTACTGTTAAGTTTAAAAATTGTGTATTCTAATATTGAAATGAATTGTATATATGAATCATTAAAGAATACTCACAAACATTTTTCTTCCATACTTTTCTTCTGTATCGATATCAAAAAGTGGGTTTATACTTTCCTATAGTAAATCAAGGGTTTAAGACATTCCACTGCTAATGTGCAGCCCCAACATAACCCACATTCCCTTCTCACTCTCACACATACACACTTGCATGCACCACCACTTCCCCACCATTAGCCCTTTAAAGGCCTCCACTGGTGCCAATGGATACCTTCATTGCAGAATGGGATGGAAGAGGGGATGGAAGTGTTGAGAGATGGAAGAGTTATCTCTGAACTCTAATGGGACGTAAGTGAGGAGGGAAGCTGGTAGACAAGGTGGAGATCTGCTGCAGGCTATATTTGGTCTATAGGCCAGAGGATCTCCATCCTTTGCTTAAGAAGTGGAAGTACACAGTGATGCTACAGTGATGTAATCCATGGCTATTTTTCCTTGAATGCCAAATTAATAGTTTCACATCAGACATAAAACATTTCTCATATTTTCCATCATGTATCTTGGCACTTGTAATTGCGTTTCAGCTAGCCATGCAAAAGGGCCCAGAACAATGCTGAAACTTTGTCTTGCCCAATGGACCTGTTATTCAGCACCTCCTTTGGGTCTTAAGACTTTATTGGGCTTTACCCATCTATAGCAATTATCTGTCTGGACATTTTATATATGGGGGGGTCTCTGACCTTCATGTTGTTATTTGAGTGGGTTTATGCTGCAAAGAAAAAGATCACATTCCTCTTTTATTGTAGCAAAATATGAAAGGGACCTTTGAGTAGTATTTAACTCAACCAAAGAGACCAAAGAGGTAAGTTGGAATGGTTCAAAGTGGGATATCTAGCAAAGCATGGTTACAACCAATGAGACTAGCAATGTTGCAAAGCTACAAAAGCATAAATAATGCATACGGTGAAAATAGTTTATATGAATGAGAAGATTAAATAGTAAATGCAATTGCCCTCAAGATCCTGCTAAATAATCTTGAGTAGGCGGCTTTCTCTCAGCTCACAGATCTGCAAAATGGTATAAAGGTGTGGGGCTATCAATAAGATACTTTCAAGGGTTTCAAAGTGCTATATAAATGGCAGTGGGGGTTTTTTGGCAAACAATATATAAATGTTAATACATAAATATTACTACAATTACAGTGGTACCTTGGCTTACAAACTTAATCCGTTCCAGGACTCTGGTTGTGACCCAAATTGGTCATGAGCCAAGTCAAATTTCTCCATAAGGGTCAATGTAAACAAGGTTGATCGTTCTGCAACTCTTTTTTTTTTACTCACAAATATTTGTAGTAAAATGACAACAACAAAGATCATGTCCATCTTCCCCCCCCAGCGATCGTGCGCGGGGGAGGGGGAAGACGGGCGCAATCACAGATGTGCTGGGGAGGAGGCGGGTGCAGGCGAACGGCGAGGTGGGCACAATGGTGGGTGCGCTGGGGGGCCATCCCCCCCAGCACGACCACTATCATGCCTGTGCAGGGAAGGCGGACGCACTTGCGATTGTCACCCGATGCGGAGTTCGCGACCTGCTGCAAAATTTTTATGAAATTTCTGTTAGCGACCCAATTTGTTCATGAACTGAGGCATTCATGAGCCGAGGTACCACTGTACTAAGTTCCACATGTGGCTATTGAATATTTGTCAAGCTGTATTTTTAAAATGAATGAGAGGGGGACAAGAACCACAAGAAATCTCTTTCTAGGTTTATTGACACAAGTCCTTTAAATGCTCAAATACTGGCAAACATTTGAAATGCAGAAAGAGCTTTCTATTAAGAGAAAGGGTAAATGTTCATGAGAAGGGATTTGAGAGGGAAGATAGTTTCTTTATATGAAGCAATTTTGACCTCATGAGGGAAGTCATTCTGTTTATAAGCAATATTTATAAAGTATGGTTTGAAGCATTTGTGTGATTGGGGGACTGATCCAACATATCTGGGAAATCTATGACAACAAAAAAAGAGATGTAGCCACTCCAGAAAGATCTCCTGGGTACTTAGAAAGAATAGCTTGAAACTGGTATGCACTGAGGCAAATATCTCAAAGTACACTCTAGTAAATGCAAAACTAGGGCTGAGCTAATTTGCATAAATTTTATGTGCCAGCAAGTTGCCTCAGATTCACAGTGACCATATGAATCAACAGCCTCCAGAATATCCTGTCATTGACAGCCCTGCTCAGATCTTATACACTCAGTTTCGTTATGGCATGAGCCAGCTCATGTTTTGAATTCCCATTCTTCTGCCTTCAACTTTCTCTACAATTGTCTTTTCCACTGACTCTTGCCTTCTTATGATGTGCCTGAAGCACGACAGCCTCTGTTTTGTCATTTTGCTTCCAGGAAAAGTTCTGGCTTGAGATTTACATCAGTAGTAAAATGGAAAAGACCTAATGCTTATATGAGAAATTTCTGTTTGTTTTTACTTGTTTTGGGAGGAAATATTGCCACCTTGAAAGTAATTACATGCTACTGGAATTACCAACTACCCTATCTTGAACTGACCAGTAAAATGCCATTATAATTAGTAACTATGAAGTTTGAAAAACCATGATAATCTCATTTTACCCTTATCTTTTGGTATGGGCTCTGTTAGACTACATTTCTAACTTGCCAGATTCTTCCCCTCCTTTGCCCCACCTTTGGCAACTTCATAACCATGCTTAAGGGACTGAACTATTCTGTCAGGAAAGGGGAAGGTATGCAGGGAAAAGTCAACTAAGGAGGTGCAGGGAAAAGATTTATATTATGCATGGTGTGAAGGAGGTGAAAGCAAGTGCTTCATTTTGTCATTATGAACCTACTGCAGAACAGTTAGGTTTATCAGAAAGAAGGACCTCACATAACACAGACTTTGTTTACAAGATTTGGTGCCACAAGGTGAGGCCGGAGACTTTGAAGGCTTTAAAGAGGGTTCACACAGATTAAGAACAGACCTATGTAAGCAATTTATCATGATTTATTTATATATTTGAGGATTTTATATCCTGTCTTTCTATGGTAGATAAAACTTGAGAAAATCCGACTATTCTTTTTTAAGAGATTATTTAAAGCTATAGAATGGCATATAGTAGATATTTGAAATAACATAGTCATGCAAACTGATTCCTCCCATAAATGTGCATATTCAGATAGGAAAAATCCTACAAGTCCCAGCATGGCTGTCTGAGGAATGTGGGATTTGTAGGACACTTTTCTGTCCAAAAGGTATGTGCCCTAGAATTCTTTGCGTTTAGTGTGTACTCCCAAAATTACAGGAAAGCATTGGCCATCTGTTTCTGTCATCTGCCTGGAAATATAGGAAGCTTTAAGTGGCCAAAATAGAGATAGCATTAAGCAGAGAGATTAAATTATGAACAGCAATTTCATGGAAGATGGAAGTGACAGGAATCATATTAGAACTAGACTATCCTGTTATTCAAAATTGCACTCTCTCTCAAGGGTTTGGGGAAATTGCATACAAAACAATAAATGAGAGGATCCGAACAAGAGATAAGTGAACTTGTTTCTAGTTCATCTCATTCCTGCATTTAATGCCATTTGTTTAAAAATCTCATGATACCAAGTTTAAATAAATTTATATTTTCTTTCAAGATACTCATTCTGACTTTGTCTTGATAGGTTTTAATTGACAATAACTGTGTGACAGCATTCAAAGGAGTGTGAAAGTTGGTGGACACCAAAGTCCAATCTGCATATGAGCCTGAGAGGAGCAACTTAGGTAATTTTATTAAGGACCTCCAAAGACTGACTTCCTTAAGCATCCTTGCTTCTGATGAATGGACCCTTATAAGCAGTGACTATTCCAACTCCCTGGAATGTGTCATACCCATCAACTGTAAGCCTTGTTTGAAATTTCCTTGAACTCCTGAGGGCAAAAAAGCTGCAGAGAAACAGAGCTGCATCTGCTTCTCTGACCATCCCAGTGCATACTGGGCTTGGACCTCAGTTCCTGACCTTGTTGCACTGAACAGCAAAGTATGAACAGAAGTTCTAATTGCATCCATTTTAATACATGAAGAACTCTCTATGTACTAAGCCCCTCTTCTTTATTAGGGTCCCTGACTGAACCTGTGCTCAAATAGGCAGAAAAACGTTGGATTCCCCTGCTAAATGATGGATGCTCAGGAACTGAAAGAGCAGCTATATTGATCCATATCAGTTTCTACCAGCTCTCTTTAAACCTTTAGGTCTTAACTATCCACTCAAGACCGAGATGCCACCAAAAGCTTTATAGTATGACAGGGATAGCTTACAACTATATATTGCTGCTGGGAGACTCCAGAAGGAACAGGGACACCCTGGATCCATTCATTGTCTTTTAATGTCTTTTATGCCATTTTAAAATAATTTTAATTCTTGTTAATGAATTGCATTATTTATTGTATTTTATTGTTTTTCTACTTTGTTGTAGGCTGCCCCGAGAGCTTTGGCTGTAGGTGGTATAGAAATTAAATGAATGAATAACTAATCTTAGCATTCTTGGTGCTGCCATACTTGTTCTTTACTGTCATGGGCTTCCTAAGTTTAGCAATATCACATTCCTTGCCAGTACAATTCCATGAATGACATACAGCAATTCCACAATGACAATCATGTCTGGAAGTGTCTGTTGCAAAGTAAGTTCTGAGGAAGACGAAGTTGTCACAAATGCTGTTTTTAGTGCTCTGAAAATACCTATGTGTACTAATTCTTGTTTGTGAAATAAACTGGTTTAGCCTAATTTAACTTTTCTGGATGAGAAACAGGAATATGTTTTAGAATATTTATCAGTTTCAGGAGTGAGATGAGGACATTCCACCAAAATATATCCAGTATGCACTGTCAGAGGAGGACTGGGGTGATCTGGGTTCAAATCATTGCTCAGCCATGAAGCTCACTTGGTATTCTTAAACCTGTAATTATCCCTCAACCTAACTTACTTCACAGAGTTGTTGAAAGGATAAAATGGGAAAGAAGAGACTCATCCATGCAACTCTTTGGAGGAAATGGAGGAGAGGAATAATAGTTCCTTCACATTGTCCAGTCATTTAGTTTCTACATATTGGAATTGAATTATAGGCATGCTTGTGTTTGTCTACATGTTTAAGAGCACAAATTATTCTGGTCTAGAATGTTGTATTAGCCTTCAGACTTGGAGGATTCTGGGCATCTGATGCCAGGCACAGGAAGCAGTGGAGGCAAGCTCTGCCCTTCAAGCCAGCTGGACAACTGATTACAGCCATTAGCTGCAGTGCTTTGTAGGAGCTGGGAAGGAGGGTGGAGTGCTATCGGGATATGTCACATATCCCGAAACACCCCCATTAGCCCTTCTGTGAGTTCATTCTCATGACCACATAGAAGCCAGCAGTGAAGGCAGAGGAGGGAGAGCAAACTGCAGATCCCCAGGTCTGAGGTTGGAGCTGTACCTCTGACTGTGGACCTGGAAATCCAAACAATCCTTTCTAAGGGACAATAGGATCACTCTGACTAGAATCTAGATGGGAAAATATTTTTAAAAACAACAGCACTGCACATTAGAAGACCACATATTCCACTGATGCAGGGAATGTTGCCTGGTAAGCAGTGGACATGGCCTGAGAAGCTGCAGTTACTCTATATCACACATCTATAGATGTGGGTTTCCCTTCCACACATTACACTGTCTTACCATGAAGCACACAATGAACATGATGATGTGCCTACTACATAATGTGTGACTCGGCCCTGATATCTTACCATGTTAAGCACCTTTACATCTTGGAAACTGGTCCAGCAAGGGAAAACATAACACCATTTCTGTCATGCGTCAACTCCATGGTGTCAGTGCTAAAAATAGCTCACACTGGTATGCTGGTTGGAGCTACTTAAACAAATAAAGAAAACATGCTCTTAGATAAAAAGTGAGGGATGCGATCTTGAGGCAGCAAGCCACAGCACCATGGTGTGTGTCCCAGTAGCACTGAATGAGTTTTGCAGTCCAGTTTTGCCAATGAATAGAATGGCAAGGTTAACCAATGAGAGCTGGAATCAATGCCACCTGCTGGTTATATTTTGATTTGTAGTTTTGTAGGACCTTAGAATAATTCTCTAAATACAGTTGACTACCTCCCTATGTTTTTTCTCTTTTGATTCTTCCTGTTGATCTCTGCCCCACACTTCTGCTTTGCTTGTTTCTTCTCTTCTGTCTTGCTTGGTCATGGCTACTGTGGCTGTATATGCTCAAAAAGCAAGGTGCTATCCCTTATCTTTTGTGGTAGCTCCAGATCCACTGTTTCTGGAAGGTTGTGCTGACCATAACTTGGTCAAAACAGGTGGAGAGAAAGCTGAACATTAGAGTCTTTCAGAATGTGGGAACACATAGGGATAGATTGAAGTTGTAGGGACATATACAATCTTCACATGTTGGAAAGTGTTCAAATTAGGGATGGGAAAAACAGGCCCTTATTGAACTCCATATCACCACCTGAACATCATCCTCATGTTAGTCAAATCATCCTGTCCCCCAACCCACCCACCATGGCCTTTGTGATCAGACTAGCAAGAAGTGTAGAAACCAGGTTCTTTGCTCAAAGGTTGAACAAGCTTGGTGTGTTTAGCCTGGAGGAAAAAATAATAAGGGAGTTATGATAGCAGTCCTAGAATGTCTGAAAGGTTGTCATGTAGAAGCTTGAGCGGACTTGTTTTCTGTTGTTCTAGAGCTGCAGTATTCAAACTGTGTTCCCCAGAACCTCAGGGTTCCATGAGAATCATCCAGGGCTTTACTCCTATGATTACAGCAAAATTGTTATTTGTCTTCATTCCTTTGTTTCATTAAAAAAGAAGTGACAAGGGAAGGTATTGATTCATTTTAATTCAGAGCCTTCACAGACATACCTTTAAAAGCAAATAAATTCATTTTAAAGTCAAAGTGGTTTCATTTCAGTGGATTCAGATTGCAAGGAAGAAAGTTCACCCTGGCTCAATACAGGAATAAAATGGATGCAGAACCATAAAAGCACTTGCAACTGTCATCAGTAACACCAAATTTTTATTTTCTTTGTGGCAAAAAGCAAGCATATTCAAGTTATTAATATGAAGTATGATTTTTCTAATGAGTTTTACTAACATTTAATATATATTCAGTACATTTATATTATTTAGTTACTAGGTAATAAATGGGTTTCTAATGCACTTACAGTTTATGTTTACATTGTATGAGTTGCATTATTGCAACATTCACTGTGACATTTTCTTCAAATAAAAGGTATTCCATGAAATGTATTTATTAATGGCTTCCATTCTGATTTTTCACACTGAGAAGGATTTATAACTCCCACTATCAATTATCATTGCAGTGACTAGAGCTGATAGAAGTTGTAGACAAAAACATCTGGAGGGCCACAAGTTGCCCAACTCTTCTCTAGCGGGCAGGTCAAAAATTTTGGCCACAGGGTAAGAAAAACTTCCTCAGCATTAAGTGACAGTGAAAGTTGGTAGACAGACTCTCTTCTCTGAAGGTATTCGAGCAGAGGTTGAGTGGCCATTGACAGGAATGCTGCAATTCCAAGATTCCTTCACTGAGGAGGGGGTTGGACTAGATCAGTGATGGTGAACCTTTTAGAGACTGAGTGCCCAAACTGCAACCCAAAACCCACTTATTTATCGCAAAGTGCTAACACTGCAATAAAACCTGAAAACTGAGATTTTAGTTTAGAAAAAACAACTCAGAGTCAGTCCAAGCAAATATATATATCCTTGGCAGCACACAGGCGGGCCATGTGAAAGCTCAGATGAGCCACAATTAATGAGTCATGGCTTGTGATGTCATCACCTGGCGCCACTACTCCTTTCGGAGCATGCACATGTCCCCTATGTGTGCTGTTATCTGATGCTTGGCTGCTGGGGCAATGCTGGGGTGACTTGGCTTGCATGCTGACAGAGGGCTCTGCATACCGCTGTGGCATGTGTGCCATAGGTTCACCACCACTGGACTAGATAATCTTTAAGGCTAATTTCAACTTGAAAAATTCTATGTTCCTAAAGCAGAAGGAAGCCTGATAAGGGGCTGGTCCTCCTCTAGTCTGAGCATTATAGGTGGACACCCTGCCCTCCCATCATCTGGTGAACGAAAGAGAACTGTTCATAACATACTGAACTTGAACCTCCAGAAGAGTTCATGAAAATCTTAACTTGGATTTATTCCTTGCTGCTTCTTTGTGGGAGGGGAGGAGAAAGGGAAGGGGGATGTGATTTTCAATATTTGAGCTGAGCAGGGGTGTTCACAACTTTTGTTTTGTTTTTTTGGTGCCACAGTTGCACCAAGGCATTTTAGGAATTCTTGCAATTTTTCTGCCTTTTAATGATAACAAGTCCGTCACCCCCAAACCTCACCAAATTAGGAGCCAGGTTTTCTTTCCGAATTTATAATATTTTTTCTCTCTAAAAAGCTGCAACCCAAGACTTGTAAGCCCCTTTCCCTTAACCCGTTACGAGAAACGTAGCCATTATTGGGTTGCCAACTGTCCAGGAGGGGAAAACAAAGAAAAGGGCCTTTAACAGAACTCAGTCTGCAGAAATCAGCAACAGGCCAAGCTTCTCAGGGCAGAGAGCATCAGCTTGAATAACTGAGCAAAAGCCGGTAAAAAAACTGGCAACACCAACCCTAGTAATGAGGTGCTAGCACGCTTTTACATGCTCACGGATACGATTTTCATCAAGGGTGCCGAATTCTCCAACTTAAATCCTGCCTCATTCACGAGGACGGAAGAACACGTCTTGCCAGGGTGCCCAAGAAAGCAGGAGCAACAGCAGCAGCTCTTCCCCGACCCCAGAAGAGGGCCGCGCCTGCCACTGCGTTTGCAACGTTGCAGCGGCAGCAGCAGCCCGCGCGCGCGGCGGAAGGTTGTCATGGTTTCGCGGGTCACATGCACGCGAGGTTTCCCCCAGCGCCGGGGGCGGGAGATGCGGCTGCAGCCACCGCCGGGACTGGCTCCTTCTTCTCCGCTGCACGGAGCCGGGGAAGGACTCGGGAGGGTCGCCGCTGCAGTCGCGAATTGCCTTTGCAGTTAGGCTGCATTTATATACTCCGCGTCCCCCACGCCGCCGGGCGTTCTCCCCACTGCACGGCGGGGGAAGGGGGAGGCACGGGACCCCGCTGGGCTCCCCGCCCCGTCCTGCCCCCGCCCCCACCGCATCCCCGGGATGAGCATCTCCGTCCCGGAGGGGCTGACGGAGCTGCTGCAAGGCTTCACCGTGGAGGTGCTGCGAAGCCAGCCGGGAGACCTGCTGGAATTCGCCCTCCAGTACTTCGGACGCCTGAAGGCGGAGGCGGCAGCTGCGGCAGTTGCAGCGGCGGGTCAAGGTGTGGGTGAAGGGGCAGGAGAAGGAGAAGAGCCGGGCGAGGAGGAAAGCGGCGGGGTCGCCCACCACGATCGTTTCAATGCAGCGGCGCCCGGCCCTGGGAGGGGGAGCCGCCTGCAGCTCGGCAGGGCCCCTTCGGAGAGCAGAGGGGTCAATTTCGCGGAAGAGCCCATGCAGACCGATTCCGAGAGCGGCGAAGGGGACGACGACGACGAGGCGGAAGAATTCACGGGTAAGCCCAGCCTCCGTCAGAATCCTTCTCCCCTCCCCGAGGGGTGGGCGTGGGAGGCAGGCGCCAGGCGGACCGGCCGGGTAGAGGGATGCTCCCGTGAACCAAACCCGTTTGCTGGGAACGAGGAGAGAGGACTGGCACACACCCTCCCACCCAGTTCACAGGTACAGGAGCAGACAACCTGCCACTGCCACGTTGGGATGCCACTCTCCTTCCCTCACACTTGACTATCAGCAGCTGAAGCTTTTCTTGGCAGTGATTTTTTTCCTTACCAGCAAAAAGCTTCAGCTGCTGATTTCTGTCTCAGGAGCCCTGCCCGTTTTAGTGTGTCTCGATTTCAAGAACTACCTGTACCTGTTCCATTTACAGGTGTTGAGAGTTCATAGTCATGGGCGGCACCCAGTCAGTAAAACCTTCACGTTGAGGTTGCCAATTCTTGGACTGACCCCTGCTCCTGTGCCTTCAAGTGAAGCTTGATTTGTGGACCTTATAGCAGGTGGTATGTATTCCCCTGAGGTCTTGGATCTCTGCAGGGCTAGTGTCCAGCTAGGGAGTAGGCTGGGGAACTTTTCTGGCTAGCTGATAATCACAGACACAAGTACTTGGCTTTTCCCAGGGCATTGCATAGGAATTACAGGTTCTCATTCACAAACTGTGCTCCCCCAGTTCCTTATGAATGAAGCTTAGCAAACGTTTTACCCTGCCTTGATAAACATTTGGCACTACTGCCCATATCTCTTTTATTTCCTTTCTTCATGGTCTGGTGCTCGCATGGCATACTGCTTGTCCCTCCTCTTTGATTTGTGGAATGCTGAAAGCTCCCCCTAGAAACTGCCCTGCAGCGCTTGCTGGCTGTCACACAGTTCAGGGAGGAGGGAGACTTACAAGATTCATTCTCAGCAAAGCAGCCAGGAGGAAGGAGCTGCTAACTGGCTGGGCTTTGTCCTTTCCCTGTTACAGCGTGGGGCTAATTGATCCAGCTCTTTCCCTTTCCAAACTCACAGGGTTGATCAGTCACAGAAACCTAACAGTGAAAAGAGCAAAGCCAAGATGATCTTGGTTTATTGAATGGAGAGGAACTAACTTTGTATTTTATTTCCTTAATTTTGAGATGAGAAGAAATTAAGATCATAGGTTTTGATTATCTGTAGTGATAAGTTCCTTTGAGCTTGTTCAAAGTCATTTTTCTTGGCAATAGTGCTCTGCTAAATCTTCCCAAATTTGGGCTTTAGGGAAGATTGCAAAGTAATAGGATTTTTCTGTATGTACGTTGGAGCTCCAGTCTCTCTCTCTCTCATTAACCTTGAGCTTTCCTTAATTTTGGGATGTAAGAAGCATGTGAAAATTAAGAAAAGCCTGAAGAATTACTTTTTCCTTACATTTTGAACTCCAGCAGTTGACTAAACTGACAATAAGGCAATGTCTTCTCAGGAAATAATGTTCCATGGAAAAGGCAGTGCTGGTGATATTTGCCTCTCTTCCTTTTTGGAAGTACACAAGAGTTTTGTAATCAGCAGCAAATTTCTTGGTGACGGATGTTGGATGGCTAATACACTGGTGACCTATTATAGCATAAGCATCAATCATTTTGGTACTGTGAAATAGTTCTAGTATATTTCCTAAAAGTTGGCTTGAGCTTCAGTAAGAAAGCGAATGAGCAAAGGTGGAGAGCATGGTGATAAAAAAAGCTGGAGAATGAATTGCCTTGGAAGGGGAGGCATCCACTCAATGCCACTGTTGAGCTGGGTTCAGTTGCCTGTTAGTCTATGTCTTAGTTTGGTTGTTCATCAAGAAATGTTTAGTTTGGTAAGATTTCTCTAAGATCCTCTTGCCACTACAGCTACAGGAATCATGATTGTTAGCACTGTTTCCACATGGAGAGCTAGCACTGGGTCATAGTTTATTGTGAGAAGCAACTTTTACAGATTGTAACGTGTGTTTGTTCCCAGGAAGCTAAAGCCAGCACTGGTTCTATGACTATGGTATTCTATGTTGCTCATATTTATTGCATCCACACTTTTAAGTAAACATCTGAAACAGCTTCCATTTTACAGCTAAAGAGATTTTGAGGTAACAAGGATTCTTAGAAACCTGAGGCTAACTGATGGATAAGAGTGGCCTTATTAGGTAGCCTGCACCTTCTCTTGATTCTCCTTGCACTCCAGTCTCTTTAAAAGATAGATAACTGAAGCCTGGCTTAACCATGCAGTGGTCTGCTCTTATTTACATTGCAGGAGGTGATCAGTGTCTTTGGAGACTTCCTTCCTTTAAAAAACAAGGAAGATGTTTAAAGAACATCTGGCAGCAAGAGGACTAGTGCAGCAGGTCACAAGCTGCGTTTTCCTCTGATCAGTTATTTCCTTTATTTATTTTTTATGCATTTGTGTAATATTTTCAATTGAATACATCTTGGAGCAGAATACAGAAATGCTGAGCTATTATGTGGAAGCACTTCAAAGGAAAAGGCATTACCCACCTACTACCAGAAGTGATATTGATGGATTTACTGTGCTTTGTATCCCACCATTCTTCCAAACTTGGCACTCAAGGATTGTCCATCAGGACTTCCACCACCTCATTCCACTACATGCATAGTCTAGGTTTATGAGACTATGTACACATTCCATAGAATAAGGTAAAATTTTGGGCTGTACAACTACCGATTGTTGATGGGAGGTTATTTGTTTGCTACTTTCCCTCCCATAAAAAACTACAGTGTCAGGGAGGACGCTACATGAAGCAGTTTTGGCCAGTTTATGATATGGAGAAAGCTTTTATATAAGTGGGGACATTCATAACTATGGACTTCTGCCTGAGGTCCAGAATGCTATTACCAACTTATTCCATGAAATGTATAGAACAGACTTCCCAACCTGATGTCTTTCAGATGTTTTGAACTAAAACTTCAGCATTCCTGGCCATTGGCCATGATGACTGGGAGTGATGGGAATTAAAGTCCAAAACCTTTGGACAGTGCTAAGTTGCAGAAGGCTGATGCAGAACAGCTCTAAAAGATGGAGATACCAGAGCCAATGATGTGATACGGAAAATTTTCTTCTACTGTGATTTTCCCCATAATTTTGAACTTTTAGAAGTGCAGTGTTTCATAGTACTTAAACATTCCTTGAGGCATAAACACAGTACTGGAATAAATACACGTGGAAGAGCAAATAGTCCCAAATAAACATTCTTAATTTTCTTTTTAAGGTGCTTATCCCGAGGAAGCACATATCTATATGCACAGCACTTCAGGTATGCTAGCACTTGCTACCTAATGGTGCAAGCTGATGGGTTACACCTTGAGACAGAAACCTTTAATCTCGGAGATGGAAACCTCTGAACCAGTGGCTTGTAGCACTGCTGCCAACAGGGTATGAAGAGTGATGGGTAGTGATTTTCACTTCTCTATGTCTGTTTGGTTGTTTTTCCTCTAGACAGACCTCTAGAGAAGGTGCAAGAGTGGAACTGGGGATGGAGGAGCCATAGGGTTTCCATGTGGCCTCAAGAGATTGGAAAGGGGGTGTCCCAATGGGCTGGGTGCAGTTTTTTCCAGAATGGCTGAGAGTGGGTGTGGGGAAGGATGAGATGCTGGAGTCCTCCTTCCAAAGTTGTAGCAGGCTCTTTGGCTTCAGACAGGGGGCTCTGAAGTATCCTATGGTCCCTGGGACACTCCTGGCTCTTCCCTAATGGGTTGTCACACCTGAAGATATTTATTAGTGTTCATTTTTAAAAAATTAAGTAAAGGTTTGTCTATAACATTTAAAGCATACTAACAGCACATACGGAGGAGCAGGTTCCATTAAATTCAATGATACTCCCTGGTTGGTATGTAGAAGATTACGATGTTCTCATTAAAAATGCCTAGTCACTTAGTTCAGTTCAATTACTATTGGAAATTCTGTTCAGATATTTATACAGTTTGTAAAATTGACATTATATGCTTTCCTTGTTAACAATTTCTTCGCAAATAAATTTAGCATGGTAAATTGGATTTTCAGCCATTTCCCCATCACCACCAAAAACACACATTACTGACCTACGGTGCAAAAGGGCATGCATGCCACCTTTTCTTTGTAGAACAATGTAGGGTGCTGAAAGCAATGTTCAAACAGTTGTGGTGGTGGTTTCCTATCTTCACTTTACTGGAACCAGTGACCTAGGGAGGTTGTGGGCTCTCCTACACTAGAGGCATTCAAGATGAAAGTGGACAGTCATCTCAGAGGATGGTGCAACTTGGTGTCCTGCACTATGCAGGGGGTTGGACCCAATGGACTTCTTGGCCCCTTCCAACTCTACTATTCTGATATTCAATGAGCCAAAGGACCTTTATGGGTAGAAGGGAGAATCAGGACTTGCAGAGATAACCTGTCAAGCAGTTCTCATAAGCCCGAGTTAAATTGTACCTTTAAAACATTTGAAATGAAATAAGTGTAAAATAATGTGGCTTTCTTGACAGCTGCCCTGTCTAATAAGGCAAGTTTCCCCTCATTATCAGTTCAGTTTGAATGCTGCAGTTAATAGTTGATTGTGTAAATCTTAAGTATGTTGGTCTTAATTGGACCATGCAGTTGTACACAGCTTTGAACTCTCCTGAAGCCTGTTATATCATCTGTGAGGATGTGGGGTGGGATGGGGAGGAAACAGCTCACAGCCTTGAAGTCAAGGTGTGCTTGAAGGCTGAGACAGAGAGACAGAGAGAACGGAAATGGATTAAAATATCTCTCTTCTTTGATGCTGAACATTATGGCTGTCAAACTTGGGACTTACAGTAACATTAAGAAGTCAGTTGATTTAACTGTTGGTAAGTGAAACCCTGTCACTTTGTATTAGTAATGGTGGATTTTACTGTATTTATATGCTAATTTCTTCTGGTAGGTGGTTGTGAGGGAGCTTTCTAAGAATTGCAAGTGGGTAGCACTGAATTAATATTTTAGGTGACCTAATTTTTATGGAAAAGCCATTGTAAATGCTGTTTGTTTCAAAACTATTTTTAAAAACAT